ATAAAAAATAATTAAAAATATTATCAAAACATATCGAGGATTTTTAGCATTAAAACACATCAAGGATTTTTTAGCATTTAATTATTATAATTCAACTAAAGTTTTTTTTTATTATTTTGATACTATTTTATATCATTATAAACATTCAAGAATATACAATTGGATTGGATCATTCAATAATATCAAGATTTATTAAAAGGTAAGTATTTTATTGGATCGATCATTAAAACATATCAAGTATTGTGTAACATTCAAAATATATCAGATATTATGGATCATTAAAAATATTATCAAAACATATCGAGGATTTTTTAGCATTAAAACATATAAATGATTTTTTAGAATAAAAACATATAAAAAATTTGTTAGCATTTAATTATTATAATTCAACTATAATTTATTTTTTTATAAAATTTGTTATGATTATACACATTCAAGAATATACAATCGGATAGGATCATTCAATAATATCAAGATTTATTGTATATTGATTATAAGGTAATTATTTTATTGGATCATTAAATCATATCAAATAGTGTGTAACATTCAAGAATATAAAATATAATGGATCATTAATCAAGGATTTTTTAGCATTAAAACATATCAAGTTTTTTTTAATTATTATTACTCAATAAAAAAAATTTTATAAAATTATTTATCACAATTCACATTCAAGTGGATTGGATCGTTCAATAATATCAAAATTTATTATATAATAATTATAAGGTAACTATTATTTTGGATTATTTAAACATATCAAATATTGTGTAACATTCAAGTATATTAAATAAAATGGATCTAACATTCAAAATATATCAAATATTTTGGATAATTAAAAATATCAAATATTATTTAGAATTTAAAAATATCAAGGATTATTTAGCATTTAATTATTATAATTCAACTATAATTTTTTTATTTTATTTTGATACCATAGCTTTATAAAATTTATTATCATTATACACATTCAAGTGGATTGGATCATTCAATATTATCAAGAATTATTGTATATTGATTATAAGATAAGTATTTTATTGAACCATTAAAATATATCAATTATTTTGTAACATTCAAAATATATAAAATACTATATATTTATAAAATATCAACTAATATGTATCATTAAAAACATTGTGGTAGAGCTGGAAACACTCTTCACAAAGAGTGGATAATAGTATAAATAAAACATTAATAAAACAAATAAAATAATGGTATCATTTTATTAAAAATTAATAACAGTTGTTGTAAAAAATAAAGATTTTAAAATTATTTTTTTAAAACCACTTATCAGATGCAGGCACCTTTTTCAGTACATTTTTAAAAAATCATCAAAGGGACTATAGTTTAGTTGGATATAACGACCGGCTACGAACCGGTAGGTCTCAGGTTCGACCCCTGATGGTCTCGTAATTTTTTTTTTTTTTTAAAAATTCTATGAGCTCAAAATTTATGAACAAATTTATTACCCCACATCCCTCATCTCCCAGGTTTTCAATCTTACAAATCGCCTGGAAACATTGAAAGTCGAGAAACAACTAAATGCAAATCATATTCACTCTATTAGATCAAAAATTAAATTAACAACAAATCAAACAACCAATTTCTTAAATTAATTCGAGATATTTATAAACCAACTATTTTTGAACCTATTTCCATCGTGGATATAGTTCCAACCTTGAATTTTCAACCATTATTATTTGTGAAATAAAATTTAATAAAATCATATCAAGACATGGCTTTATTTGGGATTATTTTAGGAATGGTTAATTACGAAAATTACAACAAATCAAACAAACAAACAACCAATTTCTTAAATTAATTTATAATAGAGATCTAAATAAAAATAAGTTTTAAAAATGAATTTGGATTTGTATTAATATTTTAAAACAAAAAGACACTACAAAAAAAAATAGCATTAAATAAATAAAAATAAATAAAAAAATAAAAAAATAAAAAAAATTGAAAAAAAAAAAAGATTATTTTGAAAAAAAAAAAAAAATAAAAAAATAATACCTCATCGAGATCTTGATCAATGATAGAAAATAATTAATATAAAAAAAAAATAATTAAATAAAAATAAAAATAAAAGCTTGAAAAAAAAAAAAAAAAAAAAAAAAAAACTTTTTTTTTTTATTTTAAAAAAAATTTTTTTTTTTTAATGAAATATTTAAGTTTGTTTATATTTTTTGTTTAAAAAAAGAAAACCATTTTCCATCCCCCAAATAAAATTTTTTAAAACCCCCCCCTTTGTGGTCCCTTCAAAAATATAATTTAAAATCAAGGTAATTTAACTTAATTAAGTCAATTATTAAACTTCGGCCCCAAAAACCCCCCCCAAATAAAAAACCTTTGGTTTTTTTTTTTAGCGAGGTACGTTTAAAATAGATTAAATTATAGCAAGTGTTTTAAAATTTTTGAAATTGATGTGTGGTAAAATTTTTTTATTATTTGTTTTGTGTGTTTAATATTAAAAAAAAAGAAAAAAAAATATCTGTGGGTGTGGTGTAAAATAAATTCATTCATCAAGTTCGTTAAATTCAATTATATAATATCATCATAAATAAAGATAATAAAAACAATAGTTTAAAATTAGATCATAAATAATTCTTCGATTTTCAATAATAATAAATAATATAAGGTAATAGAAAATGTGTATTTGATCAACACGCTCACATATACAATTTTTTATTTTTTATTTTTTTTTTATTTTTTTTTTTTTTGAAAATATTATTTTTAAAAAAAAAAAACCCAAAAAAAAAAAAAAAAAAAATTATTTTAAAAAAAAAAAAAAATTTCGCCAAATTTTTTTTATTATTTTTATTATTTTTAAAAAAAAAAAAAAAAAAAAAATTTTAGCAAACAAATTTATCATTTATGTGTGTAATAAATCAAAAATATATTGTGTAAAAATTCAATAAATATATAACCTTTTTTTTATAAAAAATAATAAAATTAAATATTTAATGTTCAAATAAAAAAAAAAAACTAAAATTCACATATAATAAAAATCATAGTAAAAAAAAATAATAAAAAAAAAAAATAAAAAAGTAATTATTTTTATTTAAAATAATTAATATATCTATAGTTTTTTCTTTATTTTTTTGTTTATCTATTTTTTTTTTTCAAAATCTTACACCAAACCACCATTTTTTCCTTCTATCTCTCAGCACAACCTTTATTTTTAATTATTAAAACATTCCTACACACACACATACGCAACATTTACATTTACACACAGTTGTTGTTTTTTTTTATTATTTTTTATTATTTTTAATTATATTTGTTTCTTTTCAATATATAATTATTATAATTTATTTATTTATTTATTTATTTGTTTTATTTAATAATTTTATTATAAAAAAATATACTATTCAATCGAATTATTATAGTAGTAGGAATAACTAATAAATAAATAAATAATAAACTAATAAAATTTAAATAATAGACCAAATTAATAATATAATATATATAATATATAATATTGCTTTATATAGTTTCTTATATAAATAGACGTTTTAAAAAATTTTTAAATTTTTTTTTTTTTTTTTTTATTTTTTAAATTTTTTTTTAAAATTTTTTTTTTTTGTTGTATTTCTTTCCTTCACTCTTTCACTCTCTATTTATCTTTTATTTAACACACCCCACAATATTATAATAGGTTTAAATAATAATAATTTTATATATTAATTAATTTTTTTTTATAATAAAAGAGTTTCGAAAATAAAAATCTTTAATAATTAGATAAAAATATAGAAAATAACAGAAGAAAAGAAAGAAAAAGAAGAAGTTTAGTTTAATTATATCCTTCTTCAATTGTAATTATATTGTAGATTATATCAAATTTAAATTATATATATTTTATTATATATATAACCTCATTCCTACTTTTTATCCATTTATTTCCCTCTTCCTTTTTTTTATTTTTTATAAATAAATTTTTTTTTTAAAAATGGAACAATCAAAAAGAGTTTCAATGATAAGAGATAAATTTGAAGCCCAATCATTAGAGGCAGATTCATCACCACCACCAACAAGAAGACCTCCACAACCAATTAAGAGAGTTAATGGAACAAATTCAAATCCTTTATCGACATCAGGCAACTCATTTACACCTCCACCACCATCACCATCATCAAGTAATACTCCACAACCAATAAAAAGACCATTACCCTCACCAGTTCAAAACAAAGCACCACCATTACCAACCCAACCAAGACCACAACACCAACAACAATTACAACAACAACAATTACAACAAGAACAACCAAGACCAACACGTCCACTTCCAAATTTACAAAATAATAACAATAGCGGTAGTTCAGGAAATAGTGGATATAGTAGTAGTAATAGTGGATATAGTAATGGCAATAGTGGATATAGTAACAATATAAATGGTATGAATGGTAATCATGTTCAACCACAACCACCACCATCACCAAATCATAATGGTTTAAATAATAGTGGATCACATCAAGTTCCAAGAAAAGTTAGTTCACCAATTAATATATCAAATACTGCTACATCACCACCAACAAACTCTGCACAACCACCATCATCACCACATCAGCCACAAATTCCTTCACCACCACCACCACCATCCAACAAACCAAAGAAATTAGCCCCAACAGCCATCCCATCAGGTCTTGGTAATATGATTGGCGGTCAACCTGTCAAAACCCCAACTCTCAGTCCAGGCTCTGCTTCACCACCACTCTCATCAGCAAATAGTAACAACAATAATTTAACAGTTTCACCAAATCCACCAAGTACACCAATTTCTGTACCAATTTCACCAAATAATATTAATAGTAATTTATCATCACCACCATCACCACCAACCAATCATATAGATAAACAAAAAGTTTCACAAGAAGAAGAAAAATCAAAAGGATTTTTAGATAATTTATTTAAAAAGAAAAAAAATAGTAAGTATTTTAAATTTAATAATTATAGGATTTTTATTTATAAATATTAATTTTTTTTTTTTTTCCAATACTTAAGAAAAAAATAAAGAATTTTCAGTTGGTTCACCATTTAATGTTAAACATAATATTCATGTTGATTATAATACTGTTACTGGTTTTGAAGGTTTACCAAGAGAATGGGAAATTATTTTACAATCATCCGGTATTACTAAAGAAGAAGTTTGTGCAAATTCAGAAGCAGTTCTTGATGTTTTAGATTTCCATATGAACCAACAACAAAGAGAAGCACAAATTGCTCAAATGCAAAATACTGGTATCCCACCACATATGTTAAATAATAGTAAACCACCAACTGTACCAATTCGTGATGTTAATAAATCTGCTCATAATAATATTACACCACAACCAGCTCAAAGACCACCACCACCACAACCAACCCAAGTCTATCAACAACCACCATATCATCCACCACCACAACCAACACCACAACAACAACAACAACAATACGTTGATGATATGAGCCAATTAACAGAAAAACAACAACAAGAATTAGAGGATATGATGAGTAATGTTTATGATGACGAATATGACATTAATCAACCATTACCAGATGAAACCAATGTTTCACTATACGATTTAGTAAGTCAAGAAGATCCAACCAAATTATTTGGCGAGGGTTCCACCAAAATTGGTGAGGGTGCAGCTGGTGAAGTATTTGTTGTCACTCAACTTAGAACCAATAATAAAGTTGCCATTAAAAAGATGCCATTAAATCAACAAAATATGAAGTTAATTGTTACTGAAATTGGTATTATGAAATCTTGTAAACATCAAAATATTATCGATTATATTGATAGTTATCTTGTAGGTGATTCATTATGGGTAGCTATGGAGTTTATGGGTGGTGGCTGTTTAACTGAAATTTTAGAACAATTCAATACTGTTAAATTAAACGAATCACAAATTGCTTTTGTTTGTGCAGAGGTAAGTTTTTTTTTATTAATATTTAATTTGGTTACTATAATACTAATTTTTTTTTATTTTTTTTTGTTTATTTAGACATTAAAAGGTCTTGCATATGTTCATAGTCAACATAGAATTCATAGGGATATTAAGAGTGATAATATTTTATTAGGTTCAGATGGTTCAGTTAAATTAGCTGATTTTGGTTATGCTGCCCAATTAACCAAATCTAAACAAAAGAGAGTTACAATTGTAGGTACACCATATTGGATGGCACCAGAATTAATTAGAGGCCAAAACTATGATAGAAAAGTAGATATTTGGTCATTAGGTATTATGGCTATGGAAATGGCCGAATCAGAACCACCATACATGTCTTTCCCACCACTTCGTGCTTTATTCTTAATCACAACTAAAGGTATACCCGAATTAAAAGATCAAAACAAATGGAGCCCAGAGTTCAAAGATTTCGTAGCCAAATGCTTGGATAAGAATGTTGAAACCAGACCTGACGCTAAAACTTTATTAAATCATCCATTCTTAAAAACAGCATGTAACAGTAGTGGTTTAGTACCAGCAATTATTGAAGCTAAAAAAGCCAAAGAAGCTCATAGTAAATTCTCGATTCATTAAATTATAAATAAAATAATAATAATAATATAAAAAAAAAAATATAAATCAAAACACACTTGCAACATTAATAATTTTTTTTTTTAAAAAAAAAAAAAACCATAGTAATAATTACTTCCTAATCACATTACTATATCATATTATAAATAAGATTCCAATAATATCTTATTTGTTATCGAAAATCAATTACATTTTTTATTCATATAAAAACCAATAAATTTATATTCTATATATGTATAATTAAAATAGTTTTTTTTTTTTTTTTTCATTTTATTTTTGATAATTAAATGAATAAAATAGTTATAGATCCCAATTAAATAATATATTTATATTTTCCTTTATTTTAAATATTATTTAAAATAAATTTTAATTTTAAATTTAAAGAAAAATAAAAAAATTAATTTTTAAAAAAAAAGAAAAAAAAAAGAAAAAATTTTAGAAATAAAATCTTTTATTTTAAATTTTATTTTATCTTATATTTGATTTTATTTAAATTATTATAAATGGGTGTTTTATTTTCTACAAATAAAAGGTTTAGATTTTTAATTTTGGGTAAGAGTTAATTTTTTAAAAACAAAATTTATTTCTTTATTTTATTAAATTATTTATTTAATTAAAAATTATAGGATTGGACGGAGTTGGTAAAAAGAAAATTTTATATAGAATTAAACATAACCAAGATTATCCGACACTTCCATCTAAAGGTATATTTATTGAAGAAACTCAGTTTAATATCCATAGTGGTATCCAATATGATTTATATATGATGGTTTTTTGTGGGCAATGTAAGATTAGAGAATTTTGGCCTAATACCTATAAGAATATGAATGCAGATGCATTAATTTTTGTTATTGATGCAACAGATAAATGCAGAATAGAGGAAACTAAAGAAGAAATACATATTTTAAATAATAATGAAGATTTTAAAAATGACCCATTTTTAATTTTGGTTAATAAAACAGATGTGCCATTATCAATGAAATCTATTGAATTGGTTAAAGTTTTGGGTTTGGAAAATTTGTCAAAAAAAAGAAAATGGAATATTATTGATACAAATGCTTTAGTAGATATAAAACTTGGTGGAATTGATAAGGGTTTAATTTGGTTATTAAATACATTAACATATGATCATTAGTTTTTCTATAAATAAAAATTGTTATTTAAAAAAATAGTTTTTTTTAAATAAATATTTATTTTTTTTTAAATTTTATTTTATTTTTTTTTATTTTTTTTTTTTTAAAAAACGAAAAAAAAAAAATTTTAAAAAAAAAAAAAAAAAAAAACTTTTATTTTACTAAAATTTAAATCTTTTTTGTATATAAATAATAAATAATAAATAATATAAAATGGTTAAATCAAAAGAGAAAATGTTGTTGTTCCATTAACTAAAGTAACCAAAAACCCAGGTGAAAAAAAGAAGAAATTAATCAATACTATTAAAGATACAATCGACAACTATAAATCTATTTATTTATTCACATACGAAAATATGAGAAATAACAAATTAAAAGCTCTTAGAACTGCTTGGTCAACCAGCAAATTCCTTTTTGGTAAAAATAAAGTTTTAGCCTACGGTTTAGGTAAAAGCGAAGAAGATGAATTAAAAACCGGTTTACATAAACTTTCAGAAGTATGTAGTAATAATTTTTCGTTTTTTTTTTTTTTTTTTTAAATTTTAAATATATATATTAATATTTATTTCTTTATTTTCTTTATCAGCATTTAGAAGGTGAATGTGGATTATTTTTTACAAATGAACCAAGAGAAAAAGTTTTAGAATATTTCGAAAATTTCAGCGAAAAAGATTTCCCAAGATCAGGTTTTGTCCCAGAAGAAACCATTACAATTAAAGAAGGTCCACTCACTGGTTTTGTCCACTCAATGGAAACTTATTTAAGAGGTTTAGGTTTACCAACTTCATTAAAGAACGGTGTTATTTATCTTGAAAGAGATTATGATATTTGCGAAGAAGGTGTTGCCATTAACCCAGATCAATCTCAATTATTAAAACTTTTCAATCATCAAATTTCAGAATTTAAAATTGTTGTCAAAGGTGTTTACACAGAAGAAGAATTCACTTTACTTAACGGTCAAGAACCAATTGAAGAATAAATAAATCAAAATTTTTTTTATAAAGAAATAAAAAAAAAAAGCTATAAAACTAAAAAACTATAAAAAAAAACGAAAAAATAAAATTATTAAAAAAATATTAAAAAAAAAATATATGTATTATTATTTTATTGGTTTTTATAAATTCAAAACTTTTATTTATTTTTTTTTTTATAAATTTATTTTTGTGATTTTTTATAAGCAATAAATCTTGATAAATTAATTCTAGATTCATCTAAACGATCGAGTAAAGCTCTATCTAATTTTTTCTTATCAAGTTTAATCTTATTTCTAATTATTGGTACGAAAGCTTCTAATTGTTGAATCATTTGAATTTCTTTTGCAATTTGATTTACAGGTGGTTCAGCAAAAATATCGAAAATTGAATTTAATGATTCAGAGATAATATCGGCTGGTGAATCTTTGCTTAAACATTGTAATAAAAATGTACCGATTTCTTTTAATATGCTTTGGGAATATGGTTTTTGACCTACAATACCAATAATACCGATTAAATTGGTTTTAATTGAGTTTGTTGCGCCACTTGCTAAATTTACTAAGTTTTTAATTTCATTTTCTGATGTCTAAAGTGATAAAAAATTGATATTAATATAAAAATGGCTATTAATATTAATAATATAGTTTAATACTTACAAATCCAATATTAGAATTGGTTCTTAAAATTGACCAGATTGAGTTTGTAATCATTTCGATACTTTCAGCATCATTTGTTGTAAATGATTGTTGGAAGATTTTGGTTAAAAGTTCCCAAAGTGATTTTTGAGTAGTTTCTTCCTTTGGAATATAAATAATTAAAAGATTTGATAAACATGTTAAAGCTCTCTTTTGAACAACTTTAAGTGATACTACATTTGATAAAAGTTCAACATTAGATTTGGCAAATGTTGTTAAATCGAAACTTATAATATTGTTAATTAATTCTACCAACTAGATTATAGAAAGAAAAATTATTAGAAAAAAACAAAACAAAATAAAATAAAATATAAATAAATATACTCTACATTTTGGTATAATGAAGTTGAAATTAAAAATTTAGAAATAGTTGAAAGTATTTGTTGGGATGAGGTAGTATTACCATCTTCGATATCTAAGAATTTATCATCGTCATCGTAAACATTATCTTGTTGGTTTGATTCGTCTTGTTGAGCTTCTGATAACATATTTACAAATAATTCGATAGAGGATTGTTGGGCTGATAATGAATCTTTCCATAAATCATTTTGATCTTTAAATACTTTTTCTTTATCTAATAAAGAATCAAAAGCGGTTTTTTTAGCTTTATTCTTTTCTCTTTTTTCTTTTCTTTTTTCTTTATTACTAGGTTTGACAACATTATTATTATTTTCTATATTTTCATTTGTGGTTTCTTCAGCTTCATCACCCATAGTATCATCAACAAACTCTTCTTCCATTTCTAATTCATCTTCATTTTGTTTGGCGATAGTATCAAAATTATCTTTGGCTGATTTTGATTGATCTAAAATTGGTTTAATATGTTGGGTAAGAGTTTGAATTGGTTGGAATTGAAGGGCACTGAGGAGGATTGGGGTAATACTTTGAATAACTAATTCTTTATTGTATAATGAACCAATGTTTAATAAGGTAATTGAAATTAATACTTTTAATTTGGTGTTCATATTGGTTGATTCTTTTACGACATTGAATAATTGTAATACTAAATCATTGTTAATTGTTAAATTTAATTGCTTATTATCATCTGTAATAACTGTTAAAAATTCTGATATGGTTAAGATTAATTCTTGAATAAAAATAGAATTTTTAATTAAAATTTGGAACAAGGTTGATAAGATTGCTTGACATTCTTTTGAAACTAATAAAAAACCTTTTTCTGATGATTCACTGATTACATAAATATTAAAAATTTTATTAGTATAGATTTTTTAAAAATAAAATTTAAATTTTTATATTTTAATTTAATACATACCATAAATTATTGATTAAAGCAATAATTTGAATTAAAACATGTTGTGATTCTACAGATTTTTGTTGTTTAATTTCATTTTCGCTTAATGAAGTGATATAATTAATTCCTTGAATAAAATTTGATAAAATTGGAGTGAGAATATCAAGTGAAATAAGAGTGTCACAGATATCTTCTTTTGCAACAGTAAGATTTCTAAAAGCACCAATTGCTGCAACACGAACTTGAATATCTGGATCGCAAGTGTATGTAATTGCTTTACGAAGTGTATCTGGTTTAATAAAAGTTTCGAGGAAGGCTGGGTTATCTAAAACAAACTCTGAAATGGTTTTAAATGCAAAATCTCTTTCGATGCTTTCTGGGCTAGAAATTAATTCTAATAATCTACCTGGGTTGCTAATAGCTTGAGATAAATCTTCGTTCATTAATGTATTGCCATCATTTAAATCGGTTGGTTGGAATGGTTGTTCTTCATTTACATTACCTAATCCCATTGGATCCTTTCTATAAGTTTTTTTTGATGATGTAAATTTACCCATTTTTTATTGTTTTATTATCTAAATATTTTAAATAAATAAATAAAATTTCACCCTATTTAAAAAAAAATGAAAAAATAAATGAGAAAAAAAATGTTTTTTTTTTTTCGTTTTTTTTTTAGTTTTTTTTTTTTTTTTAATTTTTTTTTATTTTTATTTTTTAACTAAAGTTTTAAATAATAAAAGTTAAAAATAAATAAAATAAATATTAACTATAAAAAACTTTTTAATAAAAAATTTTTTTTTTTTTTATTTTTATTTTTTATTTTAAGGGGACCCTTAAATTATTTTTTTTTTTTTTTTTTTTTTTTTTTTTTATTATTCGATATTCAATATTTTAATTGATTTTTACAGAGTTAAAAAAAAGTGATGAATCAAGCATAGGTATCCATAATTATTTGTTTAACTTGTGATTTTGATCCATTAGCATCAATTAAATCAAAATCAAATTTCTTTTCAAGAGATTTTAAATGATTAAATTGTTCTTGATAAATTGAATAACGTTTTTTTGATGCCATTGGGTCAATGTCGGTATCTCTAATTTCTATTAAAGGAAGCTCTTTTTCTTTTCTTTGAATATTTTCTTTAATTGCATATTCACCACGAGATAATTGTCTTTTGACTGATTCTTCTTCGCTTACATGGAGGACACTAACTCTGAAACGTGGTAGAGTGGCCTCTGGATTAATAGATCTCTTGATGTAGCAAATTTTATCATATAAAAGTTCAATAAATTTGACTTGCTTGGCGGAACGTGGGAAACCATCTACAATTACACTTTCTCTTGAAGCATTACCCTCCATAAAATTTGGTTTACATAATCTGGTTAATAAGAGTTCTAGAACTACCTTATCATTAACCAAACCACCTTCTTTTTTAATTTTGATGCATTCTGGTGAGTCTAATAATGAACTCATTACGATTGGATCTTCGTTAACGCCCAAAGCTTCCATTAATGCTTCAGTGTTTGTACCTTTACCTGAGCCTGGTGCTCCTGCTAAATAAATTATTTGTTTTGGGAAATTTAAATTGGAAACCCCATATTTTTTTGAAAGTTCGCTCCAAACTGAATTAAAAGTTGTTTCTGCTTCAGTTTCCATAAATCTTTCACCTTTAATAAAATTTAATTTGAATTAGTACTATAGTTTATATAATTGTTACAGTTTATTTTTTATATAATAAAAAAAAAAAAAAAAATTTATATGGATTTTTTTTGGTGACATAATTATTAAAAAAAACCCCATTATCAAAATTTTAAAACTTACTTAAATTTATATTTTTGAATTTCTCTGAATATTTTTCGTTAAAAATATTGTTAGTATTTGATCCTTTTTTTTTAAATAATAAAATAAAATATAAAAAAAAAAAGAATTTGAAATTTAGTATATTCTAAAAAAATGAATGGTTTTTCTTTTTTTAAATAATAAAATAATAATAAAATAATATTTACCAAAAGATAATGGATCAATTGAAAATCTTCTTGGTTGATTTACCACTAGTTTGTTTAACTTGCTTTCTTTTTTGAATGTTGAAATTGAACTTAAAATGTTGGAAATTGAGTTTTTTCTTAGGTCATTTTTAGTTACTGGCTTTGATTGAATATGTTCTTGTAATTGAATATCTTGAATATTTTGAGCATTTTCAAGGAAATTGCTTATATCGTCTAAATGCTTTGATTGTTTAACATCTACTCCAATACATGGACCGCAAATAGAATTTCTTCTATGAATTTGAGCGCCAAAATCTTTGGATCCTCTTCTAAGCATATTGGAGGATATTTCTTTTAGTGCAACTGTTGTACCCTTTTTTCATTTTGAAAAAATATTATGGAAATAATAATAATAGTGTTAATAAATTAATGGAAATAATGGGCTTTAATAATATCCTTCTTTTACCTTTATCATTTTTGTTTTTTTTTTTTTATTAGATTATTTTTACTATTTGAAAAAATTAAAAATTAAAATTACTATTATTTTTATTAATATTATGGTTATTATTATTTAAATAATTTTTCTTTTTGTTTTTATTATTATTTATTATTTTTAAAAAAATCATATGAAAAAAATATTATTTTATAAAAATTTAAATTTTATTTTGTATATATTATTTTATTATTATTCTTTGTTATGTGTAAAACCAAAAGTTTATTTTTATTAATAATTAAATTTTTTTTTTTTCTATTAATACAAAATTAATTATACTTTTTTTATTATTATTTATTTATTATTAATTCTTTGAATAACAAAATTATAAAAAATTAAAAACTTATTTAACTTGTTTAAAAACCTTTTTGAAAATCAAAATAATGGTTAATTTGTTTAATTAAACTAAATTGTTTAATTAAAATATAAATATAAAAAAAAAAAAAATAAAAAAAAAAAATTATTAAAAATCTAAAATAATTATAAAAGGAAAAAAAAACTATTATTTTTTAAGTTATATAATTTTACGTTTGAATTATGAAATTATTATATTGGTTTTTTTTTACTAAAACTAGGTAAATAATAAGAAAAAAAAAACTAAAAAACTAGCGAAAACAAATATTATTTATATTTTTATTTATTAAATTATTTATTTTTTGGTGTTATTTTTAATATTGGTTTTTATAGTTTATATCGATATAAAAAAATAAATATAAAATTTATTTATTATTGTATTTATTTTTTTTATTTTTTTTTTCTAAAAGGTTCGTTTCTTTGATACCTTTCTTATAATTCCAAAATTTTAATATATTGTGTTTGACTGTTAATTTTATTTTTAATTGAAAGTATATATTAAAAAATCGAGATCTTTTTTTTTTAAAAATAGATTCAAATAAAAATAACAACAATAAAATTTTTTTTATCCATATAGCACTTTTATTATCTTTTTTTTTATTTTATGTTGGTTCTAATTTTATCGTTTATCAAACCCACCAACTGGACAAAATTTTTCACAAAATAAAGAATGGAACAAATAAAAAACACTGTGCCACATGATTTGTTTTTACCACACCCACACATACACAATACACTATACACATACCACACCCCCAATGTCAAACTGAAATGCCTTTATATTGAAAGAATTTGAAACACTATTCCACAGTTTTATTCTTTTATAATGTAGAATTATATATGTTTTGATTTTATTGTAAAATAACAACACTTATGATGTTGAAAATCTTTTACATATTATACATATATAAATTTATTTAAAAAAATTATAATTCTTTGTACAAACTTTTTTTTTAAACAAATATAATATTATATTTATTTAAAAAATTATAAAAAAAAAAACACACACCCACACATCACACACAAAATTAATATTATTATTTTATAAAATTAATATTATTTAATAATAATTCCCAACATAAATATTCATTGATATAATATTATTTAGTAAATTGTTTGATTTATTTGTAATATTTTAAAAAAGTATTTGTAATTTGATGATTTAATAAAATTGAAATATTTTTATAAAATGCTATACCCCACTAAATATAATTAGATAATAGTAAAACCCCCTTTTTTACAATGATACAGTAATTTTTTAAGAGATAAGAGAATCGTTCGAAACCTAAAATGAAGCTTATTTGAAAGTATCCTTTAATTAAGTAAATTTTTATACCCTATTAAACAAAGAAAATTTAATATCATTAAATTGATCTCGATTCCATATTAATTTAATTATTTATTGGTTTATAATCATTTCTAAATTAAAAAATTATTATATTTATTACAATTATCATTAAAAACCGCTCATTTAAAAAATGAATGATTAAAGCATTAATTTATTGATTTGTTTACGGAGGGTTCTTTTTTAAAAGGATTAATTTTATAATTAAATTTAAAATATTATTGCAACAACATTAACAATTTACAAAAAAACAACTATATCATATTAATATTTTCATTAATGGTGCCCCTATCTTTTTAACTTTAAAAGATTAAAAAAGATTTAATTTAATATTTTAATTTATTTAATTTTAAAAGCCTCCATTTTTTAGTATAAATATTTTTTTTTTTTTTTTTATTATTATTAAATATTAAAATATAAATTAAAAAACTTAAAACCTAAAACTATTTAAATAAAAAAAAAAATAAAAAATGTTATTCGGTAAGTTCAATTTTTTTATGTTTTTTTTTTAATAAAATAATTTTCATACTAATTTTTTTTTTTTTTTTTTTTTTTTATTTTAGATTTCATCATCTCTTTAAAAAAAACCTCAAAAACCAACAGAATTCAATCACATGGTGCCTCTGATGATAATACTAGCACATTATTATTTTCAAAAAATAATATATCTCAAGAATGCACAAAAGTGTTTTTCAGTAGACCATACTTTAATTCATATATCTAAAATATTATTTATTAATATTCAATCATTTTTTATATAAGCCCGATATTTTATATATAAAAAAAACTAAATAAAACCAAACGTTATTTATTTAAAAACTAAATGCATTTTTTTTTTCATTTTACAAGATTCTTATAGAATCAAGTTCTTTGTGTCTTTTTAAATCTATTATTGATTTTTTAAAATAATAAATTCCCACTATTTTTTATTTACAAATTTAAACAAAATTTTTTTTTTTTGATATACAATAAAACAGAGTATTAACAATATTAAATTATAAAAATTAGAATACTATCCAGGTATTATTACCATTAAATATTTTTATTTTTGAAAAAATTTTAAATTATTCTTTTTTTTTTTTATTTATTTTTTTTATTTTTTTTTATATATTTTTTTTTTTATATTATTTGTAAAATATATTATTATGTTACAATTTAATGTATAATTATAATTATGAATTATAATTTATAATCTTTTATATTTTTTTTTTTTTTTTTTTTTATAATCTTGATTGAATTTGGGATTTAACAAGAGAAACAATATCCAATGGGGTGACTCTTGGTGGGTTAATAAGTTTGAATAAGTTTGATAAGAAGGCAGCTAAAGAAACAGATCTCATTAAACTGAATTTCTTTTTGTTACCAGTGTTGTAAAGATATTTGGCAACTTCCAAAGCTATAAAAAATTAATAATTTGTTAGAAAACCACCAATATTACATAATAATAATTATAATAATAAATTGAATAATTACCTGTATTCAATGGCATATTTTTACGTTGTGAGAAACGAATAACACCAATAACAGCGATAATAAGACAGGTACCAATATCTTTGACATCTCTACGAACAATAGCATTTAAAAGGTCATAAATGGCAGAAATGATAAATTTATATTCGTGGAATTGTTTGAAGAGTACTGAAACTGGAGTACGAGAAAGAACCATAATTAAAACATTAATCATTGATTGAACTTGTTCAAGAGAGATATTTGAGACCATAGCCATAATGAGATTCCAATTGAGAGGGAAACCTTTTGAAGCACCTCTTCTCTTTTTACGATTAACACCATTTGAACCACCATTTGAATCTGAATCACGTGAAACTCTATCTGAAACCTTGGTCATATTACTATTCATTCCTCCGCTATTGGAGTTGGTTGAGGCTGATGAAGCATTTGATACCAATCTGGATGCAACATTTTGAATTTGTAATAAATATTTTTCAGAGATTTTATTTTTATTATATAACATTCTACATCTTTTTACAATACCATCATCAAATGACTCTTCTTCAATGTTTTCATTTTCTTGATTATCTTCTCTATTTTGTTCAATTGAGGCTTCTTCCCCTTCTTCCTCCTCTTCCTCTTCATCTTCAAAAATATCATCGTCTTCCTCTCTTTCGATTTTATTCTTTTGTTTTTCTTCTTTAAATTTATAATATTGTTCTCTAACGTTTTCATATGACTCTAAATCCATATATGGTTCTAATAATCCAATAACATCTTTGGCTTGACCAGTTTCGATTCTATATAAAATTTGTCTAAGAGATGCAACAATTTTTTTAATTGCTAACTCTGCTAATTCTTTTTGAATAGCCTCCATTTTTATAATTATATCTTTAGAAAAAAAAAAAAAAGTAAAATAAATAAATATATAAAAAAAAAAATAATATAAAAAATAAAAAATTAAAAAATAAAAAAAAAAAAAAAAAAAAATTATAAAAAATTAAAAAAAATTAAAAAAAAAGAAAAAAAATTTATTGAAAAATTAATATGGGTATGAAATCAATCATAAATTACCATTTATACTCTGATTTATTAAATACTAAAAGATAATTTTAATTTTATTTAGATTTAATAATTTTTTTAAAATATTTTTTTTTTTTTATTAATTAATTATACATTTAGATATTATTAATTTATTTTTATTATTATTAATTATTTATTATAACGATGATAACTTATTTAAAAGTGATAAAACTTCTTGAGAACTTTCTAAAATACCTTTAGCTTTTGTTGACTCTTTTAGATCAGCAGTTACACGAATTGAATATGATGGTACATTTGTTAAAACTTTAAACATATCTTCATCGGTTTTATCATCACCAATACAGAGAATAAAGTCGGGGGATGATTTTGAAAGAATCATTTTTACAATCTCACCTTTATTAACACCGATTGGTTTGACTTCAATTGCCTTTTTACCAGAGAGAATATCCAATGGATATTTATTTGCAACTGCATAAAGCTGAGCAACCAATTCTCTAGCTTGGAATTGACCAAAATCTGGATCCGCATTTCTATAGTGCCATGTAAGATTAACTTGCTTTATCTCAACCATTGAACCTGGGGTTCTATCTTCAAAATCCTGCATTACCTGCAATACTGTTTCTTTCCAAGATTGCTCTGCATTTGGTGACTCTACCCATGGTTGATTTACACCTGGTGGCCTTGTAAATACACCATGTTCACATGACATACCAACTGGTATATGACCCAACCACTTTTCAAGTGATACACGATCTCTACCACTTATGATATAAACATCATTCTTTGGATCGCTGGCTAATTTTGCCAAAGTGTCAATTAAATGTTTAGATGGCATAGCTTGACTAGGGAGACGTACCAATGGTGTTAGAGTACCGTCATAATCCAAAAAGAAAACCCTGCTTTTTGATTTCTTGTACGAATCTTCGATCTCTGGTATATTGGCTTTAAGAACTCTTGTTTCTTGAACTTCTTGTTGTGTTGCTTCGTTGAGGTCACATAAAAATCTTTTGCCCCAAAACGATGATGTATTTGCTAAAACATAGTTATAATTGATTTGATGCTTTAATTTCTTATCAACACCATTCATATTTAGTGCTTCAATAATTGCACCCATTATCTCCTTCTTTGAAAATGGATTTACAATAATTGCCCCCCCTAAACATCTTGCTGCTCCAGCAAATTCACTGAGGATTAATACACCAAAATTATCCTTTTGGCATACAACATATTCGTGTGATGTTAAATTCATGCCATCTCTAATTGGTGTTATTAAAGCTACGTCTGCCAACTTGTACAAAGCTGAGAGTTCCTCATAAGTTACCTTTCTATTAATATACTCGATTGGATTAAAACTTAATTTACCAAATTTTCCATTAATTCTACCAACCATTCTAAATTAAAAAAAAAAAAAAAAAAAAGTTAATATTTTAAAAAATAATTAAAAATATTGTTAAAATTTTAATTAATATTTACTCATTTACTGTTTTATGTAAAATTTTTTGTTCCTCAGTTTCATCTTCTTCCTCAACAGTTGGCTCATAAATTTGAATAAAAACAAGTTTGCCGTGATACTCTGGATGGTCGTTTAATAAACTTTCTATTACTTCCAATTTTCTTGGTACTGCTTCAATTTGATCTAATCTATCTCTTGCTACCAAAACCTTTTTTCCCTTGAATATTTTACGAAGAGATTCTATTCTACTAGCAACATCTGGCAAATTAAGATTTTTAACAAAATCATTGTAGTCTACACCGATTGGATATACCTGAAGTTTAGTAAAATGAGTAAAAGTCTCTTCAACAATTTCTAAACCTTTTGGATGAACTTCTAAATCCAATAAACGAGCACATGATGATCTAAAATGACGGAGGTATTCGAAAGATTGGAAACCTATTAAATTTGAACCCAAGATACCTTTAAGAATCTCTTTTCTATTTGGAAGAATACGGAACAATTCATAAGATGGGAATGGAGCATGGAAAAAGAAACCGATTGGTGCTTCCAATGGTAGTAACTTTCTGAGCATTTGTGGAACAAGCATTAAATGGTAATCATGGATCCAAATGATATCACCAGGTCTCCAAGTGGCGGCAATTTTATTAGCAAACATTTGATTTACAACAACATAATCATCCCACCATTCTGATTGCATTTTAACGAAATTTAATTGATAATGAAGTAACAGCCATAATGCATTCTTGCAATAACCCTTATAGTACCCATCTACCAAATGTTCATTTAAAAAAATTGGTTCGAAATGGTTGTTGAAATCCTTAATAGACCTTTCTAATGATGGAAAATCTTCTTCTGGTAATTCTACGTGAGACCACCCTATCCATGTCCAATCTTCAATTTCTTGCTTGTTCATTAAAGTATCTAGAGCCGACTCTATTGGGAATGGTATTGATGATATTTGAACTTGAATTTTACCTCCATTTCCATTATCTCTTACTGGTTCTGACATACCAAAGCTACTAGTAAGTGGAATTTCTTTGCTTGCATTTAATGGTGATCCAATAGATGGTGTTTCAGTTATCTTTGTAATTGATATTGGTAAGGTATTACTTGCTACAATAATTCTACCTAATTTTTCATTTATAATATTATTTAAACTTTGAGATCTTTGTATATTCATTTTTTATTATTATTTATTATAGAAATATTATTATATTATTTATCTATCATATGTAATTATAAAAGATTGTCAATTAAAAAAAAAAAAAAAAAAAATTTTTTTTTAAAAGAAAACAATATGAAAAATAATATAGTATATATTAAATTTAATTAAAAAAAATAATTATTAATGATTTTTGTTTTTTTTTTAATTTTAATTTTCTAACTTTTTCCTTATTATTATAATAATAAATATATAAATAATTATAATAAAAAAAAATAAAAAAAAATTACCCCAAATAAATTAAAAATTAAAAAAAAATAAAAAAAATTAATTTAATTTAAATTTAAAAAAAAATTTACAAAAATATTCATGTATGGCTTTGTATAAATAAAATATTTTTATTTATTTTTTACATTTCAGATTTACTTGAAAGGTGTGATTTGATTTTAATAGTTATAATAATAATTATTAAAAAAGATAAAAATAATTAACCAATTTAAACATTAGAGTCCAACAAGAAAAAAAATAAATCTAAAACCAAAAATAAAATATATGCAAATTAAAAAAGAAAAAAAAAAAAAAAAGAATAAATAAATAAGCGACATGCACATGTGATAATATTTTTTTAATAAATTTTTTTTTTTTTTTATATATTTTTTAATTTTTTTTTAAAAAAGGAGGAGTTTTGTTTTTTATAAAGTTGTTTTAAAACTTAAGTAAATTATTTAAATTATTTATTTGTTGCTTGATTCTTTGACTGAGACAATACCTTCTTTACCTAAAGCAGAGATGACTGAAACTAATGGTTCTCTACCAGCATTGATCATATCTTGGATTTCTTTGCCAATTTCGTCTTCTGGGAGTGGGAGATCTTCTTTGATATCACCACCAGCTGATAAGAGTGATAAGTAACCATCTTGAATATCTAAGACGGTGTATTCTTGTCTGCTGACATTTGGGACATCAATGTTGTGAGTTGATGGGCAAATTTCTTCGTATTTCTTACCAGTGAAGATATCAACGGCAGTAAGATTGACTTTAGCGTGACCGTGTTTACCAGTCTTTGAGGTTGACATATCAACAACTTTGCATGGGAAACCTTTGATAACAACAAAACCGTTCTTTCTTAATGATGAACATTGAACTGGGTAGGTTAATGAAGCACCTGAACCAGCTTGTTGGTATTCTTCGACATCTAAAGCTTCGTTATCTGACATTTTGTATTCTTTAATTATAGAAAAAAATAAATGGTATTAATATTTCATTTTTTTTATTTATTTGTGGTGATTTTTTTATTTTATTTTTTTTATTCAATGATGTTTTACAATATGGAATGGAGTTGTGGTGGTAATGGAAAATAAAGAAAATTTTTTTAAAAAAAAAAATTGTGTTTGTAAAAAAAAAAAGAAAATTTTTTTTAAAAAAAAAAAATAATAAAAAAAATAAAAAATTAAATTTTTTTAAAATACAAAATCTATGTGATTTTTGTGTGTGTATGTGAAAGTGTTGATTTTTTTTGAATTACAATAATATTTTGTTTTTATGAACTTTATTTCCAATATAATTTTTTTTTTTCTTTTAGATAAAATATTATAATTTATTAATTTTAAAAGTTTAAATTTGAAATGTTTACATATATAAATATTATATTTATTACAATCAATTATTTATTTTATTTTATAATTTATTTTATAATTTATTTTATAATTTATTTATTATTATTATTAATTTGACCATTTTTTTATTTATTTAATTTCTTGCCAAATGCCCCTTTGGAAAAAAAAAAATTGGTTTTTTTTTTTTTTTTTTTTTTTTTTAGTTGTATATATATACACACATACCTAGTGAGCAAATTTGCCAAAAACTAAAAAAAAAAAAAAAAAAAAAAGAAAAAAAAAATAGAAAAAAAAACTCGGTTCAATTTTTTTTTTAAAAAAAATTTAATTCAAAACAAATAAAATTTTCTATTGTAAAAAACTATAACGTTTTTTTTTATAAATATCATGGTTGATGTGACTTTAGCAAAAAATAATAAAAAAAAATATTAAAAATAAAAATAATTATAATAAAAGTCGTTGAAAAAAAAAAACTAAAAAAAAACTATATTAAAAAAATATATTTTTAATGCTTACCGGCTGGCATTATTATATTGAAATTAATAAGACTGAAACAAAGGCACTGGTTGTGAGGGGGAAATTGGGAATAGTTATAGTTTTAAGAGCTAAACTAACTAGAAATTAAATTTTTTAATAAAATATTAACAACAACAAATAAGTTGTAGTTATAAACTATATGTGTGATAATATTTTGAAATATAAAAATAAATTTTCTATTTTATTTATACTTTTTTTTTTTCAATATTATTTTATCACATATAAAATATTATTATTTTAATTTAATAAATATTTATTATAATTATTTTTATTTTGGGGAAATTTCTCAATTTAAAGCAAATCTATTTTTATTATTTCCCCAAATCAAGTGTTATAATATTTTTTTGTTTATTTAATTTTTTTAATAAATTTTATTTAATTAGGGAAAAAAGGGAGAATTTTTTAAAATGTGATAATTAACCAAAATGAAAGGATATAGATATTTTAAAAATGTAACCTTTTACAATAATTCTTTTTTTAATTATTTAGTAAAGACGTTTACTGGTATTATATAATAATAGTATTACTCTTTTTTTTATATTTTTATTTATATATATTAAAGGTAAATTATTATTCACCTATTTTAAATATGTATTTCTTTAAATAAAATAAAATAAATCCTAAAAAGGTTATTTTGGTAATTAATTTTTTTGAAATGAGTTTTTGATCAATACATTTTCCCTCTTTTTCTTGTAAAATTTAAAAATTTTGAAAAAAAAAAAAAAAAAAAAAAAAAAAATAATTTTTTATTATTTTTTTATTTATATTTTAAACACAAATAATAGTTTTTTTTTTTTTTTTTTTTATTTTTAATAATAGTTATAATAAATAAAAGAAAGAAAAAAAAGATTATATAGGTTTTAAAATGGGTATTAAGAAATTGACAGATCTTATTGAAGATAATGCGCCAACTTCAATTAAAACCAATTTATTAAAGAATTATTTTGGAAGAATTATAGCAATTGATGCATCAACTAGTTTATATCAATTTCTTATTGCTATGAATGCAGATGTTTCATCAGCACTTACAAATCAATTGGGTGAAACTACAAGGTAGCTATGCATAGAAAATTATTTCGTTTTTTTTTTTTTCAAAATAAAATATTAATACATTTTTTTTTTTTAATTACCATTGTTCAGTCATTTACAGGGTATGTTTTACCGTACAATTAAATTAATTTCAAAAGGTATAAAACCAATTTATGTATTTGATGGTAAACCACCAACATTGAAAAGTGGTGAATTGGCAAAAAGACAAGCAAAAAGAAAAGAAGCTACAGATAGTTTAAAAGAAGCAACAGAAGTTGGTACCTCTGAAGATGTTCAAAAGTTTGCAAAGCGTACTATCTCAGTTAGTAGAAAACAAAATGAAGAGTGTATTAAATTATTAACATTGATGGGTGTTCCAGTCGTCAAAGCACCATGTGAAGCTGAAGCTCAATGTGCAGAAATTGTAAAGAGTGGTAAAGCATGGGCCACTGGTTCAGAAGATATGGATTCTTTAACTTTAGGTAGTACAGTTTTATTAAGACGTCTCTTTTTCTCTGAAGCAAAGAAAATGCCAATTCTTGAATTCGAATTACCATCAGTTTTAGAAGGTTTAGGTTTAACATATGAAGAGTTTATCGACCTAGGTATTCTTTTAGGTTGTGATTATTGTGACAGTATTAAGGGTATTGGTCCAAAGAGAGCATTCGAATTAATTCAAAAGCATAAAACTCTTGAAGAAATTATTAAACATTTAGATAAATCAAAATACCCAATCCCAGAATTTTTCCCATATCAAGAGGTTAGAGAACTATTTAAACATCCAGATGTCATACCCGGCGATCAACTTCCAGCTTTTCAATGGAAAGATCCAGATGTTGAGGGCCTCAATGAGTTCCTTGTTAAAGAAATGGGCTTCTCAGATGTTAGAGTTGCTCAAGGTATTGAAAAATTAAAGAAGTTTAAAAATACTAGTGTTCAATCAAGAATGGATTCATTTATTACAATTGTCAAAAAACCAACAGACGATAAAAAACCAAACAGCAAAAAAGTTACAAAAACTCCATCAAAACCAGGTGCTAAATCAAATAAAAAAGCACCAGCCAAAAGAAGATAACAATATTATAATTTATAAAACAACATCAAAAAAAAAAAAAAAAAAAAAAAAAAATCATATATTCAATTTTATATGAATAAAGTGTAAAATAAATAAAATATTTTTAATAGGAATTTTTTATAATGTTTTTTTTAATAAATAAATAAACAAAAAAAAAAATAAATAAATACATAATAACAATCTTTAAATAATAAAATTATAATATTGTATATATGCATTTATTAAAGAGCTTTTATTATTAATCTAATAATGAAGATAATGATGATGGTGTATTTGGTGATTCAGCAAATTGATTTTTTTCAATAATATTTGGTTGTGATTCTTTTTCTTTTTCTTTTTCTTTTTCTTTTTTATCTTGTTGTAATGACTGTTCTTCTTCTAAAATTGTTTTTGATGATAAACTATTGTTGTTAGATTTGTTGTTTGATAATAGGTTGGGGGAAATTTGATTATTCCATGTTGTAGAGTTATTACGAGATAGTGCTGGTGAGGATGAAAGTGAAGAAGGTTCAGAAATATGGAAATTGTTATTGGCTGGATTATTACCATTGTTTAGTTTTGATTTTAAAATATTATTTTCAATAATCAATTTTTTATAATCCTCCAATAGTTTTGGAATTTGGCCAATTTTAATGTCATCTGAATGATAATTTAAAAATTCGTAATGATGACTTTGATTTGTACTGAAATTTGAAAAGTGCTCGGCCATCACATTTGGACTGTTACAGCTACTGTGAATATCTTCATTTTCATTGAAAAATGTGTTATGACTGCTAATATTACTATTATTAAGTGAAGAGTGTCTAGAATGGCCTCTTGAGTTTGGTTGTAATGGCTTGCTATTTGAGTGTGGTGGTGATTTGCTAATATTGCTAGTGTTATTATTTTCTTTAACTGGTGTTGATTGTGGCTGTGATTGTGGTTGTGTATTATTTATTGCTGAATTGGCTAAAATTGATTTTTGTTGATCACTTAGTTTATAGTTTAATCTTTTTAACATATCACTGTTTAGCTTTAATGGTAATTCCATTTCATATTTTTCACGTAGTCTATAAAATTCGGACTCTTCTATTGAAAGATCGGCAGGGGTTGAAATATTTTCGATAAAGGTAACGGCAGAAACGAGATGTGTAAAGTAACATGCAATTTCAGTCATCATTCTTGATTGATCTCTAAAAGTACTAACATAAATTAAATTGGATTTTAACATTGGTAAATTGGCCTTTAAAACAACATAGATGAGGATTGGAAGAAATTCGTCTGCACCAGTTGGATTGTTATTTGTATTCTTTAATAGTTTGAATATAACTTTACAACAATTATAGACGCAAACCATTTTATCTCTTGGTGTTTTATATGTATTCATTTTCTTGAGTTCTGAAATTGCTAAATTTTGACGTTGTTCGTTTACTGTAAAAAATTTTTCTATATCAAAATGTTGTGGCTCTAAAAATTGATGAATCATAATATGTTTGTATAATTTTAAATCATCTTCTGTTGGTACTAATAAGCTTTCTGATACAATATTTCCTTCTTGTGGCTCTAATCTACCTAATCTAGCTGGAAAAAAAGTGCTAATGGTTTTAAAAAAAAAAAAATATTATTAATATTATTATGATTACAAATAATAATTTTGAATTGTCGCAGTGGATATTTACCAATGATAAAGTTTATTCATAATATACTTTTCAATACCATCTCTGATACCCTCGAGTTCTGCTTCGGTTGGGTCTTGCCACAATGGATGTAATAAAATTTTATGCTCTAATTCTCTTGAATATGTGATTATAATATGACCTTGCTCTTCATAATTGGCTGGCCCATATTCTGAAAATTTAGTAACAAAACTAAAATATTATATTAAAATTAGATTAGTATTTTAATATAAAAACTAAACTAGCTAAAATATAATTATATTACCTTAATAAGCTTCTTCGGATATCCATTGCTTTTGGGCTTTTTAACTTTGTATAAAAATTGTTTCTTTCTTTTGTACTTTCTTCTAATGTAATAATTGTTGAGATTGAGCCATTTCCTATTCTAATATTTTCGTAAATTGGTTCGCTCCCACCGGCTCCGCTGCCATTCCCAGTACTACGTTGTACATGTGATGATGAATTTGATGAGTTTGATTTAACATCAAAATCCGGATCTCCTAAATTTGATAAAGAATCACATGATTGTGAGCTCGAAATACCATTTCCACTTAAAAATTCATCATTTATATTTGTTTTTGTCATGTTTTTTTTTGGAGTTTCTGTTAATCCTTCTGTATTATTATTATTATTATTATTATTCATATTATTATTATTATTCGTATTATCGCTATTATTTACATTTGAATTGTTATTATTGTTATTGTTATTATTGTTAAAACTACCACTTAATAAACTTGAACCAAACCACATTATATGCCAAAATTTTAAAATATATTATTTATTATACAAAAATATAAAAACTATTACTATACTACTATATACAATTCGTATTAAAATATATGTATTTGTTTTATAAAATATTAATATAATATAATATTATAATTATTTATTATAAATTTGTTTATGGTTTAATTGTAAATAAAAATACAAAAAAAAAATAAAAAAAAATTGAAAAAAATTAATTTAAAAAAAAAAAAAATAAAAAAAAATAATTTAAAAAAAAATAAAAATAAAAAAATAAAATAAAAAAATAAAAATTTAATTTTTTTTTAAAATATAAGTTAGATAATTTTAAAAAAGATACACTATTATTATTATTTTTAAAATCTTATCAAATCAAGCAATGGAATGGATAACTATTTCAAAACTATTATTCAAATAAAAAAAATAAACAATGATGTGTGTACCCCACATTGATTTTCGCTCAATAACAAAAAACCAATTAGATTTTTTTTATGAAAATTAAATTAAATTAAATTAAAATAAAATAAATAAAAAACATTGCTTTTAGATTATTCGAAATTTTTTCTTCCCAACACAAGAATAGTTATTTAATGGGTTCCACAATCAGTTTTTTTTGATGTGAAAAAATTTAGCAAATCAGTTTTTTTTTTTATAATGGGGCAAGTATCTCACTTACTATTTTTTAAGTTATTGAGTACTCTCTACAAAAAAATTCATTTTCGAATTTACAATCAACCATCTTAATAAAATTTTAAAATAATTTTTTTTTTAATAATAAATTGTATCAAAAAATATAATTGTTTTTTTTTTTTTTGAGATTGTTTGGTTTAAAATGAATTGATTGTTTAAATATAATTGTCGCACCAATTTCACCAAATAAAACAAAATTAGATTGCATTAAATCTAAATTGATCAAAGAATATGGTACAGCGATTTAGAAATTTCTCATATATGGTACCACTTTCATTGATGATATTGACAAGAGGATCGGAATTACAAATGCTTCAAAAGATCTCATTTATATCCCAGATCTCCGTTCAATAGTAATGCCATTGAAACTGGTTCAGTATATATTGAGAATTTATGTCCCTCCTCAGAACGGAGTCAACAAAATTGCCAAACAACAAGTTTAAAATAAAAATAGTAATGAAGCAAGGTAAAACATAGTTAATAAAAAAATAATTAAAACAAACAATATTTTTTTTTTTCTATAATATTTTTATTGTTATTTTAATATATAAAAATAATGATGCAATAATAAATTATTTTTTTTAAAATTTGAAATAATTAAAAAATTTTAATTACAAAAAGTAACAAGTATTCTTTTATTTTTTTACACTATTGGTATAAATAATTAATGGTTTGTTTATAATTGTTCCCCTTATTTAATATGGGGAAAAATATAATTATCCATTAATTTATATTTAAAGTCTTTTTTTTAAAAAGAAATACCCACACAATAAGAAAATCTTTTTTATTATTATTTTTATAAAAAAAATAGTATAAATAGTTTTAAAATTTAAATTTTTAAAACAAAAAAAACAAACAAAATCAAATTAAATTTAAAAAAATGATCTTTAGTAAGTAATATAAACTATAAAAAAAATAAACTATCAATTTAGTAACCATTTTTTTTATAACATATCCTTGTGTTTATTATAGATTCAATAATCTCACTTTCAAGCACTGGTTCATCAATGAAATCAAACATGGCTTCAGGTTCAGTATGCGAAACCTTTGGTGACAATGGTGTTTCTGCATGGGGTAAACATGAACCAAGCCACTGGGGCAAATCAAAACACCATCACTCTGACCCACACAAAAAACACTGGGGTCATTAAATTTACCCTTTATATTTTAAATAAAATAAGAAATTTTTATGAATTTATAAATTTAAATATTTTTTGTTTTAATTATTTTAAATCTCTGAAAAAAAAAAAAAAAAAAATTTTAAAACAAACAAACTTCATCTTTTTTTTTTTATTGATCCATTTCTATTTTTAATCAAAAATTACATAATTATTCTTTTATAAAATTTAAATTTAACTAAATAAATAATTATTCATTTTTTAATATTCACACACACTCTTCTTTAAAAAAAAATATTTATAAAAATGGTAATGTAGGTTAACCACCAAGTTTTTTAAAAAATTTTTAAGATTATATTAGGTTATTCATCGAATTTATAAATATCTGCCAAATCGCATTTTTTTTTTTCTCAAAATCACAAAAAAAAATAGGTGGTCTGGGAAAACCGTTAAACTCTCTTGCAAAACGTCTATCTTTAGTTTACGAATAAACTAGTAATATTATACCTTATAAAAAATTTAAAAAAAATAAAATAAAATAAAATAAAAAAAATATATCTCTTTTTTTCTTATTCTTTACTTTTTATTTTTTTTTATTTATAAATATAAAAAGATAAAAATAAAAATTTAAAATTAATTTTTTTTTGAAAATTTTTTTTTAAATAATATTTATATCATATATGTTTTTTATTTATATTTTTATTTTATAATTAAAACTTAAATAAATATTAGTTTTTTTTTATTTATGCACATATATAAATAGTTTTATATTTTTTATTTTTTTTTTTTTCTTTTTTTTTTTTTAAATTTTTTTAAAATTTTTTTTATTTTTTTTTAATTTTTTTTTCAAAAAATTTTTTTTTGATTTTTTTTTTTTTTTTTTATCATTACACATACACATATAAAATATTTATATAATACAAAAAATAACCTAAATCAAAAATTTAATTTTTCGATAGCTAAAAAACCTTTTTATTTTTTTTTTTTTTCAAATATATAACAAAAAAAAAAAACACTTTTCGCACAACCAAATAAAAACTTTATAATTTAATATTGTGTTTTAATATATAATAATAATAATAATATAATAATAATATAATAATAAAAGCAACAAATATTAATATTAATACAATCAAAAGTACAAGACGAAACCAGTACCAAATAGAAAACCAAATATAATATTAAATCTATAATTAGCAAAAACAAGAGTTAAGAAATTCAACACACTCTCATTCATTCGTTTATCCTCTTTTATAATATAAATCTTTTTTTTTTTTTCAACTTATTTATTATTTAAACTCTTATTAAGAGCATTATACATATATACAATAAAAAATGTCTATGGCACCAGAACAGTATGTATAAAACAATATTATCAATCACCCAATTCAATCGATTCATCATATAAAATAATTTGTCATATACTAATATTAATAATCATTTAGTGATTTTTTCTTTAAAATTCTTTTAATTGGTGATTCAGGTGTTGGTAAATCATGTTTATTATTACGTTTTGCTGTATGTATCAAATAATAAAAAAATATAATAATATCAATTAATTTAAATACTAACAATCGATTAATCTTTTTTTATAATATTTTAGGATGATTCATGGACCGTATGTTTAAAATTAAAATTTTCTTTTCTTTTTCTTTTTTTTTATTTTTTGATACTAATGTTTTCTTCATTCTTTTATTTTTCTTATTTTTTTATTATTTTAGGATACTCATATTTCAGTAGGTATCATATATATACAGTTATAAACAAATCTATAGTTGAATCTAATGTTTTTTTTTCTTTCTATTAAAATTAGACTATTGGCGTAGATTTTAAAATTAAAACTCTTAATTTAGATGGTAAAACCATTAAATTACAAATCTGGGATACTGCAGGTCAAGAACGTTTCAGAACTATTACTTCATCATATTACCGTGGTGCTCAAGGTATTATCCTTGTATACGATTGCACTGATCAAGATTCATTCAACAATGTCAAACAATGGATGGGTGAAATTGAAAGATATGCATGTGAAAATGTTAATAAACTTTTAGTTGGTAATAAAACAGATCTTGTAAATGAAAAAGTTGTCGATTCAAACCAAGCTAAAGTAAGTAGTTATATAGTTATAAAACAGATACAGATTCAACGACAGCTCAGCATTTCAGTTTAGCACAACAACTCAATAAATACTCATTTAGGACATATACTATCGGAATATAAATATAATCACTTTATTGCACCATAGTTTATTTTATTAATTATAATTGTTTTTATTATTATTATTAGTCATTCGCTGAAAGTATGGGTATTCCATTTATTGAAACTAGTGCCAAAAATGCAACTAATGTTGAAGAATGTTTTATTTCAATGGCAAGAGATATTAAAAATAGACTTGCTGATATTCAAGACTCACCAAGTAAAAGTGAGGATGTTGATATTAAAGCCAAAAAACCAATTAAAAGTGGAAAGAGAATGTGTTCAATTTAAAGACTTTGGATTGAGGATTTAAAAGAAAAAAAAAAAGTTTAAAAAAAAAGTTTAAAAAAAAAAAAAAAAAAAAATATAACAAATAAATAAAGAAAAAAGAAATTTATTTTCTTAATGTAATACAAATAACTTTATATTTTATTAAAAGTCGTTATTATAATCTTTGTTTTAATGATTATATGATAAATATTTTTTTATTTTTTTTTAAGTTTTTCAGTTTTTTTTATTTTTAAGTTTTTTAAAATTGATTTTTTTTTATATATTTCTAAAAGTCAAGCATGCACCTATTTAAATTATTAAATAAAATTAGTTTTTTTTGTTTTTTTTTTATATAGCAAATAAAATACATACATTGCTTCCATATCACCTAAACCATTTGCTTTACCAAAATTGTTTGTTGGATTATCATTATTTTGAATGTATACACCAATACCATACATTAAATTACCACTTAAATTATCCCAAACTTTAACAGTACCCTGGCCAACAAAATCTATATCTAAAGATGATCCAAATAATGTGGTATATCCAGGAATGACAACACCAGCTGTAGAGGCAACATTATCGTGACCATTGTTATCACGTGGGAAGAAGAAATTATCATTATAAAATTCTCCGCCATTAATACCATCAGGTGTACCAAAGTAGCCGGATGGAAGAAGATGTGCACCATTAACACCGCCACAAACACCGCCATTTTCTAAAATTAATTGATCACCATTGTAGCAAGCTCTTAAAATATCGTATGTACCTACATCACGATCTAAATCACCACCACGATCACGAACAGATATAATCATATCTTCACCGTCCATTGTTAAATCTGAAATCCATGGTTGTGAGTCGAAATAGATACTGGACCATGGAGAGTATTCACCTGGAATGCAAAAAGCACCACCGAATGATTTACAACCTCTTGGGAAATCGAATGGAATTCTTAATAAGATATTTCCATTTTCCTCCATTACATAGCCTACTGGAGTTCCTGTGGGAGAGCTTTCCATAGTACAAACACCACCAATAATAATACTACCATGTCTTACACCCAAAGCAAATGGACGCCAATCATCTTGGAACCCAATACAAGGATTGTAAATATTTGAAAGGGTATATACACTGGGATTGTTGATTGAAATCTTTAATAGCTCTCTTGAGGCTAAAGCAATAGTATAGATACTTCCATTTAATATATCAAGATCACCAAATGAAATTTTACCAACTGATTCTACACCATTATCAAAATTTTCCATTGGGTAGATATGTGGATCGGAGCCGCAATATTGAGGATCACCCTTTACTTGATTGAGATCGAAAAACAATTCACTAGTTCGAGCTTTGCTTCCTACTGTATGAGTTTTATAGATTGCACCTGTACCACGTGGACCAAAACCTGAAAAATATTTCATAAATGCACTTGTATAAATATCACCTGTTTTCCTGTCATAACCTAAACCATAAACAGAGCCGATTTCACCATGTGTTGCTAAATGAGTAACTGTACCCTCTGGGCTATTATAAAGGTGTTTGGTAACATTCGATGGGAAGCTGATTAATACTGGGTCATCAGAATGTGATTCGTTATGGTTTTGAATAGCATAACAAATAATTGCAAGTTGTGGAGCATCTTGACAATAAAGTGGGTTCGAAATTAAACCTATTAACAATGGTTCATCTTGGGATATAATTAAATCAATTGGGGCACCGGCTGGTGGGGCTGGTGGGAATGGGTAGTTGGTCATTACAAAGCCATTTGGAGTTTCTACATATACCATATATCCTGTTGGAATTAATGGAACATTTGCAAAGTTAATATTACCGTCAGCATCGGTTTTGATTGTTGCAACAACTCTATCGCCATCTTTAAGAATCACAGTAATATATGGGAATGGAACGTCAATAGCAGATGTATTTGATGGAGTGGTATCCATTTGTCCATTAGCATTGTAGTCAATAAATATTTTACCTGTTAAGGTGATGTTGGGTGGAAGGATACCAATGTTCATTTCACGGATAACATAGGCTGATGTTAAATGCATATCATCTGGGAGAGTTTTACTGACTGGAACTACGCCTGATGCATTCAAGAAAATAAATGTTGTAATTATACCTTCACTATCTGCCTTATTTGTATATGGATCTTCTTGAGCTTCATCTGATACTGGACTGTATTTTGTACCATCCGGTAGTTTTAAAAAAACTTGATAGTCACCACTTGGGATATTGTCGAAATAATAGAAACCATTTGCATTAGTTTTGGTTGAGGATACTATTTTACCTTCTAAATTGTAGATCAAGGAGTGACCATTAACTGGTTTAATATATACTTCGGTATTATCTGCTGGTAAATTGTTTGTTCTAGAGCTACTGTAATATTTATCATAAAATATGTAACCAGATATGGCAAATGATGAGGTTTCTGTATCGGCACATTCTACCAATGAATACAAAACATATTCTGAAATTTCGCTGTATGATTTGTAACAAATTTGAATGGTATCTAAAGGTCTAGTTGGATGCATTATGATATAGTTTAAATTGTTTCTACTGCTTTCTTCAAAACATCCCAATGAAATTGAATTTGAATCGTTCTTTGCCAAGATTCTACCGGTGGTTGGTTGAGAGTTTGAAAACTTTCCAACCCAGTCTGTTTTCCATGTGGTCATGTTGGTTCTCCATCTCGTAAGTGATGAATTGATAGATACATGATCAAAGCCATCGACTGATGCAACTATTAAGCAAATACTAAACATTGGGTTTTGTGATTTAAGCTGAATACATGTTTGTTCACTCTTTTTGCAATTAAAATGTGCCAACATTTTAGCATAGCTATGATTTTTATAAATACTAAGAAAATCTTCATCGTTTGACATATCTCTGCCTAGAGGTATATTAGAACCTAAAACAATTGGTATCTTTTCGTCGCCATGGGAATTTACAAGGGTTAATGTCTTTTCGCCCCAAGCAAGTGTTGCATTCTTGCCAATATCGGGTGACAAAATATTTTCAAATGACACTGCATTACCAAAAACCATTTTACCATCTACCCCATTTTCATATTTTATAAAAATATTTACTAAAAAATATAAAAATAATATTTTAAAAAAAATATTATTTTTAATTTTATTTTTTATCATACTTGCGAAATTAATAAATATAAAAAAGGAATAAGTAAATTTTTTTTGCTAATATATTTAATTAAAATACTTACTTTAAATTAAATTGTAGTTATGTATATTTATATTTTTATTTTTATTTTTATTTGATTAGTTAATCTTTTTTTATTTTTTATTTTTTATTTTTTAATATTTGTTATTATTATTGTAATTTTTTTTTTGAATAAATTTGAATAATAAATAAATTTAAAAATTAAAACATATTACATATTCTATAAATATTTTATATTGTATTATTAAATATTTATAAATCAATATGGTATTATAATAGATAAAAAATTAAAAAAATAATTGTAATTAAAAAAAAAAATATTTAAATAAAAAAATATAATTATAATTTTTTTTCAGTCTATTTCGATCACATATTAATTCTTTTTTAATTAATAGCATTTTTAATAATATTGTATTATTTTCATGAATCCGATCATTGGTGTTATTGCATTGTAAATAATAACAATTCATATAAAGTTTTAGATAAATATACACATAATAGCATAATTTTGATTGATTTTTTTTTTTTCTATTTTTTTTTTTTTTCTAAATATACAAATTAAAAAATTATTAAATGAACATTAAAATAATATTAATAATATTTAAAAATAAATAAAATAAAAAAAAAAAACTATATATCACTATGAATTTTGGTATATTTTTTTTTTTTTTTTTTAATTTTTGTATTTTTCAATATTAATATTGTATTCTTTTTTATCCATATACAAGTATAAAGGCAAAAATTCGTATGTGTGTTTTTAATAATTGAAATAGTGTGTGTGAACTAAAGGGGATATTATGTGGGTTTGTGTGTATGAAAAATTGAGTATGTGTGAAAATTGGTTAATATAAGTGTGTGAATAAATAAATAGGTTTATTTTTGTACATCTATTTTGAAGATAGTTTTTTAATAGGGTTATTATTTTGTGTTAATTTTTTTTTTTATAAATAGGCACGAGGAAATAATTATAGTTAAACTTATTTACATATATAAATTGTGAGAGTGGGGGTTTTGTTGAGTGAGTGTGTTGTGTGGGTAAAAATATATTTTTTTTATTGCTATGTATAATATGAAGTAGTTCCCGTGGTATTTGTGATAAAGTTTTTTCATATAATTTAATTTAAAACTCGACGAATGACAATATTAAAATATACTAAATTGAAATTAAAAAAAAAAAAAAAAAAAAATAACACCCACTCTTTTTAGAATACTAAAATAGTAAAATAAATTTATATAGTTAATTCCAATTGTAAAAAAAAAATAAAATCTAATTATAAATTGTTTTTAGAAATTGTACCATAATATTACTGTATAATATATCCACTAATTATCCACCATCAATCACTTAAAAATTACCACTCTAATTTTTTTTTTCCACAAAAACTAGAATTTTAATATTATTATTAAAAATATCCATCTATCTATTTTGGTTATGCTTTAAATATTTATTTTATTTTATTTTATTGATATATTGTATTTCATTTATTTATTGTGCCATGTTGGGTTTCTCTTTTCTACAAATGCATTCATACCTTCTTTTTGATCATGCTATTTAAAAAGTGAAAAATAGAATTAGTAAGCCAATTGATTCATTCACATATATGTATATAACCTAAAATTATTTCTTTTTACTTACTGAAGCAAAAGTAGAGTGGAAAAGTCTACGTTCAAATCTAATACCTTCTTGTAAGGTTAATTCATATGAAGAGTTTACAGCTTCTTTGGCCATAGCAACTAAAAAAATAATAATGATTGATTAGAAATTTTGCTTTACAATTAAATTATTTATAAACAATATAATAATAATAATATAGTTACCAGTTAATTGAGAGTATGAGGCAATTTTTTCAGCAATTTTGGTGGCTTCTGATAAAAGTTCTTCTGGTGGAACGACTTTGCAAACTAAACCAGCTTTTTCAGCATCATGAGCATTCATATTATTACCAGTTAAAATCATTTCCATAGCTTTTGATTTACCAATGGCTCTGATTAAACGTTGTGTACCACCACAACCTGGAATGGTACCTAATTTAATTTCTGGTTGTCCAAATACAGCCTTTTCACCAGCAATGATCATATCACACATCATAGCAAGTTCACAACCACCACCTAAAGCATAACCATTAACTGCAGCGATAATTGGTTTACGGGTTTTAGTGAGATCGTGCCATTGAGCTAATAAATCTTTATTGTAAGCATCGGAATAAGTAACTTTTTCCATTTCTTTAATATCGGCACCAGCAGCAAATGCTTTTTCACTACCAGTAATAATAATTGAACCAACATCTTTATCATCTTGGAAGACTTTAACTGCATTATTAACTTCACTGATTAAACCATCTGAAAGTGCATTTAAAGCTTTTGGTCTATTTAATGTAACAAGACCAACACGTCCTTTCTTTTCAGCAATAATATATTGATAGGCTGAATCTAAATATAAAACAAAAAAGAAAAAAGAAAAAATTTATTATTATTATTAATGATTTTGTTTTATTTAATTTATATTAAATTTTATTAATTCATATATATATTTAAAATTTTGATAAAATACTATTTGTGGTGCAGAATTGTTTTAAAAAATAGTTTTGTGGAGCTGCAGTTTTGAATGAAGTTGTGAAGAGTTGTTTGAACATTTTTTCGATTAAAAATTATATGAAATAACTTATAAAAAAATTTTAAAAAAATAAAGGAAAAAAAAAATTTTAAAAAATAAAAAAATTAAAAAAATTTAAAAAAAAATAAATAAATAAAATATAAAAAATATTAATGATCATTAAATTTTTTAAATTTCAAAAAAATATTGTTTTCATCTATTTAAAATCTAATTGTCTATTGTTTAGTAAATAAAATTAATTTTTAAAACTTTTTTTTACAAGATACATGTATTGGTAATAAAATATTTGTGATTACTGGGGGTAGCGTAGTTTTTATAATTCGATTTTTTAATCAGCTTTTGAATTTAAATTTTAATTATGATTTAATATTTGGTTTTGATCCTCCTATAGTTTTTTAAAAATCACACAAAAATTAATTTTATAAAATGATAATAAAATATAAATTAAATATGAATAATAATAAAAATGAAAAGGCTTTTTTTTTTTTTTTTTTTTTTTTAAACTTTTTTTTTTTTTTTTTTTTTAATATATATTTTTTATTTTGGATGAGTTATTTGATTGATTTGGATAGAAAAAATTTTGAGAATATACATTTGTATTGTTATTAGTATTATTTAAGACTCCAATATCTTTTGCTGGGGAGGCAGGTGGAGATATTGAAGGTGAGTGGGATGATTGTTGTTGAATGTGTTGATACATTGAAGAGGATGGTGAAAAAACAGGGGCAGCAGAAGATAACGATGGTGATGAAGAAATTCTACTGTTTATACTGTTTGAGTTGGTTGGTGAATGATGAATAGTACTATTTACAACGTTTGGATTTAATCTTGTTGGGGTGTTTGGTGTGTATGTTGGTTGTTGATAATTATTACCACTACCATTTAAACTATTATTTTGAATATTTAAAATTGGATTATTGGTATATATATTATTATTATTATTATTATTATTATTGTTTGGAGTAGATATATTATTAATATGTGAGGAGGAAGAATTGATACAATTATTATAGTTAAAAGGATATAAAACTTTTTCATAATGTTTTCCATGACGATAGGTAACATTTCCTGGATCTATCCACATTGTAGTGTTTTGCTTAACGAGTTGTCTAAAATCGCCAACAATATCTGATTTTTTGGCAGCTTCCATTAAAAGTCTATCAGTGGTTTCTTCACAGATAACAGCACGGTAGCCTTGACCACGTTCAGGATAATCTGGGTACCAATGACCATTGATTCTATTACGAAGTCCGGTGAGTAATTCTTTACGGAATCTCTTTATGTTATCCTTTGGGATGTTCATATTTAGTTTTCCCAATGATTCTGCCCACCAACAGGCTGCGACAACCAATTCTGGTAAATCAGTTGGAAATGCCATTAAATATTGATCTATGTCTGCTAATGGTAAGGAGTAATTGACACCACCAGAAATGCCATTTGTTGATGAGTTCATACCATTGCCACTTGGGGATGGGATGGATCCACTGCCACTTCCATTGATTGTGATACTATTGCCACTATTATTCATAATATTGATACCACCGCTACTACCATTAACTAAAATGGTGCCATTATTGCCGTTACTATTATTGCTATTAAATATAACTCCTGCTGCGTTGGTTGCTGTTGCTGGTGGTGGAGGTGTTGTACTACTATTATTGTTGCTATTGTTATTGTTTGAGGAAGGTGACAAAATATTTGTCTTTACATTATTTGAAGCATTAACAACGATAACATTATCTACAATGTTTTCAGTGGAACTATTTACAACAGTGCCTGATCCTCCTGGGTCTTGACTATCAGCATAAGGTGACATAATACTATTCTTTTTTTTTCCTTTTTTTTTTTTTTTTTTTTTTTTTATTCTTTTTTTATTTGGGATCTCTATTTAAATAATACTATATATATAATAAATTTATAAAATCTATAAAATAAATATAAATCCAAAAACAAATATAAATAATGAAATAAAATTTTTATTTTTAAAAATTGTATTAGGGAAAAAAAAAAAAAAAAAAAAAAATTTTTTTAAAATTTATTTTTTTAAATAAAATTAAAAAAAATTAAAAAAAATGAAAAAAAAAAAAAAAAATTTTAAATTAAAATTTTTTTGAAATAAAAAAAAAAAAAAATAATGAAAAAAGGAAATAAAAAAAAAAAGAAATAGTGGTAGTTATAATATTTATTATTATTATTATTATTAAAAAAAATCTATATTTTTTTTATATGTACAGGTTAAAAAAATTTATTTTTTTATCCACCCACAGGTGACACACAAACAAACCAAATGAGAGAATGAAAAAGAACTATAGTTTTAACTTTATTAAGTTTAAAAAAATATTATTATGAGAAAAAAGATAAAAAAGGTTTTGAGGAAATATTTGAGAGAATGATTTTTAAATTTTTGGTTTGGAAAAAAAAAAAAAAAAAAAAAAAACAAAAAAAAAGAAAAAGAAAAAGAAAAAGAAAAAGAAAAAGAATAAAATAAAAATAAAAAAAATAAAGTTTGTTTTATAGTATTTATTACTATTTGTTTAATACTAACTGTTATTTTTTATTTGTTTTAACTTTACTTACTTTTAATGTTTTTTTTTTATTAAATTTTTTTTAAATTAAATTTAAAAAAAAAAATTAAAAAAAATTAAATTAAAAAAAAAAAAAATTAATTTTTTTTTTTTTTGATTAATATTACTAAAAAGCATAAGTAGGGTTAATAATAACTTTAACACACAAGATTTTTTATTTATGTGTGATTGTGATATTAAATCTTAACTTTTTTTATTTTATATTTTTTATTTTATTTTTTATATTTTTAATTTTTATTCTTTAATTACATATTTTAATAAGGCAGATTTATAGACATTTTCATTATTTATACAGGTAATCAATTTAATAAGAATTTTTTTGGTGAAAAGGTAATGTAAAAAAAAAACCAAATATTATATAGCAGAAATAACATAATATAAATTTAAATTTAAAAAAAGTGAAATAAATTTTAAAGTATTTATACGAAACATGTTAGAGCATTCGTAGATACCTTTTTTATAATAAATTTAAATCTAAAAATTTCAATATATTTTAATTAATAAAAATTAAAATAAAAAATTAAATAAAATGGGTTATCATTTTTAAAATAGATTTGAAAATAATGGCATTAATTTAAACAAAAATTTTTTATGAAGTTTTTTATTGTAATAAATTAAATAAATTTACTTTATTCAGTTTTATTTTTTATTATTTTATGGTCAATTACTAATTTTTTTAAAGAATTAAAACTATCAAAAGGAAGATCTTGGGAAAATTGTTCTCCTAGTTTTAATACTTCAATATTTTTTAGGATATCGAGTGAAATTGTGGAATTGAATTTATCAGAGAGCTTTAGCTTCTTGACTGATGGAATGGAATCAGAGGTAATATCTTGATTAAAATTACGACCGAATTTTATTGATGTTAATGATTCTAAGTTTCTAAGTTTTAGTTTTTGATTGAAACGGTTTCCAAAAGTTATTTTTTTTATATTTCTTGGGAGATTTTTTTCATTGATTTCGTTATTGAAACAAAAGCTTAGTTCGAGATTCTCGAGGTGTGGAGGAAGTGATTTCTCGTAAATTTTTTTATTAAAGTGGTGGCCAAGAGAAAGAGTCTTGATGGAATTTGGTAATACATTTGGTAAAATTTCTTGATTAAAGAATTCACCAATATAAAGTTCCTCTAAATTTGGTAATGAACCTGCAAGTATGGGTTGATTGAACCAGTTCCCAAGTTTTAAAATCTTTAAAGACTGTGGCAAAGAGCATAGTGGTTGGTTGAAGGAATGACCAAAATTTAAAACTAAAAGAGAGGTTAGGTTTTCAATGATAAATTGTTCATTAAAACTCTCACCCATTTCAACTGATTCTAAAGATGCTGGTAAAGAGTTTGTAATTGGCTGATTAAATTGTTTCCCAAATATTAGTGTTTTTAGTGATGATGGAAATACGAAATTATCTAAAGGCAGATTAAAATTACTTCCGAATTTGATCGATGTGAGAGTGTTTGGTAAAACTTTTGGACCCACAATTTGATTGAAATCATCACCAAATGAGAGCGATGTAATTGATGGTAATGAACCAGGTTTGATGATTTGATTAAAACTTGTACCCAAAGAAAGTATAGTGACTGATTCCGGACACTGAAGAGATGGCTGATTATAATATTTACCAAGAGTTAATGTATGAATGGTTGGTGAAATTGAACCCTCTACTATAGGTTGATTATAATCGTGGCCTAACTCTAAAACACATATATTTTCAGAGAAACTATGTTGGTTGATGGGTTCGTTATAAATATTGCTTAAACAAACTTTTTTGATATATGGTGGCGCAGAATATTTATTAATGTTGGTTAAAGCATCTCCAAAATATAAGGTATCGTGTATAATTAGTATTTTAAGATAGCTAGGTAAATTTTCGTATCTGTTTAAAGGGTGCTCGTAGGTATCTTTAAATATAAGATCTGAAAGACCAAGTGGAATTACCCCTTTCTCAATTGGATGGTTATACTTTTCGAAAGATAGAGTTATTAGACCAGAGGGCAGTTGACCTTGAGATAATGGCTGATTAAAAGATTTACCAAATGATAAGACATCCATTGAGTCGAGGCCTTTAAGGTTTATAGGTTTGTTATAGTCAGCTCCAAAGTGCATTTCTTTAATACAATTTCTTCCGAATCTTTTCAAAAAAATTGATGTATCAAATTCTTGATTAAATCTATTACCAAAGATAATCTTTTTTCTTGTTCTTGAAACAAGGTTTTTTGGAATTGGTTCGTTGTAATCATTTGAAAATATAAAAGACTCGTGAACTTTTAAAAATTTAATATGATTTGGAACCTGGTCGATTGGATAATCATATTTACTTCCAAGATTTAACTCGGTAACTGATTCTGGTAAGCTGATGTTATAAAGTGGTTGCTGAAATTGGTTTCCAAAAGAAAGACTGGTTAGTGAATTGGGCAAGCCATTAGGAATTGGATTGTTGAACAATGATTTTTTTGAAAATTTTAGTTTTTTTAATCCTTTTGGAATGGTACATGGAATTATTGGTTGATTAAAAGATTCTCCAATGGTTAAAATCTCCAATGATTGTGGCAATGAACCTTCTAAAAATTGCTTATTATAAGAATCTCCAAGTGAAAGAGACTTTAAAGTACTTGGGAGGGTATTTGGCTGTATAACTTGATTAAAATCAAAACCCATAGTTATGACCTCAAATGGTGACAAAATAGATCCTTGAGTTATCTCTTGGTTAAAGTCATGACCAAAAAATAATGATCTTTTTTGTCTTAATGGGTTTTGGTTTTGCTTTGATTCTATAAAGTTGTTAACTGCATCATGAGAATCGCCAATAATGAATCGGCTATTAAACTTTGAGCCAAATTCTAAAAACTCTACGGTGGATGGAATTGAACCAAATTCGATTTCTTGATTAAATTCGTCACTCATTTCAAGATGCTTTACAGATCTTGGGATAACACCTTGATTAATCTTTTGGTTGAAGTTTCTTGAAATTTTTATAATCTCTACATTTGGTGGAATTGAATTTGGTTGTAGTTCACAATTAAAATCACCATTTAAAGAAATGGATTTGAGAGATGCAGGTAGAACATATGGATCGATGGTTTGATTAAAGTTTTGGCTAAATGAAATAGCTTCTAATGAGCTGGGTAGCAAACCTTTTTTGATTTTATAGTTGTAAGAACCAGAAAACTTTAAAAATTTGACTGAGTGTGGAATATCACCTTCAAGTAACTCTTCTTTACCAATGTATGTAAGGTTCTCTATATAGGTTCTATATGTATGTAATTGTAGAAGTTTCCTGAAACTGATTATCACTGTTTGATGGTTTTTATAAATTCTGCGATGATTTCTTATTAGACTGTTTAAATATATATTATTAAAAACTTTAAAAAATAAAATTTTATTATTGTCATTTTCATCCATTATTTATTTATAAATATTTGTATTTTATATATTTATTTGTTAATATTTAATATTTAATTTTTAATATTTATTTATTTATTTTTTTATTTATTATTTATTTGATTTAAAATTATTATATTAATTTGTGTTGAAAAATTAATTAAAAAATTTTTTTTTAAAAATTAAAAAAAAAATACAAATTTTTTTAAGTTTATTTTTTAATTTTTTTAATTTTTTTTAAGTCTTAACAACTATTAAAAAACTTAAAAAAAATAATTTAATATATAACTAAAATTATAACTAAAAATTAATATTTGGAAATTTTTATCTAAATTTGAACACTACTTGATGAATCGATATCCCCTTTGGTATCATTGCTAATTGGTTGGTTTGATGTGATTGGTGGTGTTGTTGGTATTGTTTGAGTATTGGTTCTGTCTTTTTTCGCTAAATAATCATTTGTTGTTTCTGTTGGTGTTGTTGGCTTTGTTTTTTGATTTGTATTGTTGGTGGACGATGATAGTGATGATGAAGACGAAGATGAGGATGAGGATGAGGATGATCCTTGTTCCTCTTTGTTGTGTTTTGAAAATTTTGTTAACTATAAAATAAATGATGGTTAATTAAAAATAATCTATTGATTATAAAATATAAATAATAAATTACCCATGGGATTACCAATTCATATTGTTTAGTTTCATCTAAATCTTCAAAATCCATATTTATATAGTTCTTAGTGCCCTTTTCGCGGAGATGGTAAAGAGAGAAATGACGACGTTCAAATTTAAAAGCATGTTGTATTCTTTTTCTAACATCGTCCTGGGTATCGCCATATTTCAATTGAATTTTTTGCTCAGAATTCCAAAAGCTAAAAATACTACTATAAAATACTCTAATTGTTTTGAATTTTGATATCATATCAACCAAACTGTAGTCACCGCTCTGAAATGGTGCCTTAACACGACGATTTGTTGTATCACCTTTCTTTTTTAACCAACCAGAATGAAGTTTTAAATTATGTTTTAAAACAGACCAATCTACCCCTGGTTCAAAGGTCATCCAAGGATTTAAATCGCTGTCACTTTTGAAAACATTGACCTCACCATCTGATAAAAAATAAAAAATATCATGTTATTACAAAAAATAATAATAATAAATTTTTTTACTTTCTTTTAATATATAACTAACCTTTTTCTTCCTGATGCGCTGGATGTTGATATATATCATTTGTCATACTTGAACCTCTTTTTAAATCTGGTCTTTGGCCATTATTTGTTCTATAATGTGGCTCTGGTTCATGAAAACCCATCTTTTGTTTTTGACTATCTTCAATTGTCATTTGTCTTAGGAAATCTGATAAAATAGTCTCATCGTTTTTGGATCTGTTATTAGCATCAACGATAAATGGTGCTTCATTTCTATTATTCTTTAAAAAATTTCTGCATTTGTTTTTTTCTTCATCTGTTAAAATACTTTCATTAATAACCTTTAATGCATCGTGAATTGATTTATCCATTTTTTAATTTGAGTAATAATAAAAATAAATATTAAATATAAAATAAAAAATAAAAAAATATATTAATAAACCATATAAAATAAATTATCCAAACAATACTCTTTAAAGATTATACCTACAATACCTTTTAAAGAAACATAAAGCTAATCTATTTGACTATTTCATAATAATAACAACCCTGTTTTTATTATATAATAATAAAAACACTGTTTTGAAATAATTTGAAAATTTTAAAAATATTGAATATATAAATACAAGTGTTGACCAAAAAAATTTCAAATAATTTTGATTTTTTTTTAATTTTTTAATTTTTTAATTTTTAGAAATAATATTAATTATTGATTTTTATAAAATCATCATAATATTTATTTACAATAATTTCATACATAAAAATAAAATAGATAAGATTCTAATAGTTTTTTATACTATCACAAAACCAATTTATAGATTTTTATACCTAGTGCAAAAATCATAATTAATCATAGGGTTCCATGGAACCCCCAACATTCCATAACCTAAATTTAATAAAAATTCAAAAAATAAAAAAAAAATATAAATAAAAAAAATTTTAAAAAAATATTTAAATAAAATTAATTTATAAAAAATAAAAATAAAATACAATTATTAATAAATACAATAAAATGTCAAAATTAATTGCAGTTACAGGCGCAACAGGTTTTCTTGGTCATTATATAGTTAGAGATCTTTTAAATAAAGGTTATAGGGTATTGGCATTGGTTAGAGATCCAAAAAATGAAGAAAAATTAAAATCATTAAAATATTTTAATCAAAGTGGCGACGATAGTAGACTATTCTTCGATGGTGGCGATTTAGAAAAGGTAGATTATGGAAAACTTTTTGAAGGCGTAGATGGGGTCATTCATACAGCAAGTCCATTCATTTATTCATCAGAGGATGCTGATAGAGATATTATCCTACCAGCTATAAATGGTACATTAAGAGTATTGGAAGCTGCTGCTAAAAATCCAACAGTTGGTAAAGTCGTAATTACAAGCTCAGGCCTAGCAGTGTACAATGCATTCGGTGGCGAGATAAAATCTGAATATTCTGATGACGATTGGGCCAATCCACCTAAATCAACACCATATCCATACTCCAAAGTCGCAGCAGAAAAAGCAGCATGGGAATTTATAGAAAAGAATAATCAAGATCCAACCACCAATCATTTTAATCTTTCAGTTATCAATCCAGGTTTCTTTATTGGTCCAAATGCTGGTATTTCAACTACACTCAACACATCTGTTAACCTCATTATCCAACAACTCTTCAATGCCTCACCAATAAGACAAGTCGCTGTAGCTTTTGTTAATGTTCAAGATGTTTCCAATGCTCATATCTTTGCATTAGAAAATGAAGGAGCCAACAACAAAAGAATGTTAAATGTACACCGTGTTATAAACTTTAAAGACATGGCTTTGACCGCAATGAAACTATTCCCAGAATTCAAATATAATGCATCTCCAATACCAGAAGACTCAAATATCTTTAAACTCGAACCAAAGAGATTAAACTCATTAGGTTTTACCGACTATATCAGTTTAGATGAAACTATAAAAACTATGATCCAACAACTTTTAGATACAAAAGCAATTAACCCAGAAAAAAAATAAATATATTTAAAAAAATAAATATTAATTAATTTAATAGTATTAAAAATAAACAAAAACTTTTTATTTTTATTTTAAAGTGAATGAGGATGTACTTTTCTAAAAATGTTTCTAAAAACATAGGATAGTTTTATCATTGCTTTTTTGAGTTTTGAAGCACTTTCCAAAACCATACTTCCCATTGATTGGAAGAAGCTGATAATAGAGTAGGCCATTGCCCCTAATTTTTCCTTAATCCATGAGCAATATTGGCCAAAGAACTCATATCCTTTTTTGCAACCCAAAAACAAATAAGAAGTAAATAAGACCTCGAAACAGTCGCCTTTAGTTATCTTTGGTTGGACATTTGTATTTGATTCTTCATTGAGTGGAATATATGGATTACCATTTTGATCAAAACTTTCCTCATCACCAACAATTGGTTGTTGTGGTAGTGGTTCTGATTGATATTCACCATGATGTTCTCCGACAACTTCTTGATTGTTTTTTTCACCTATTTCATCATCATTTTGATGGTCTTCAACGACTACTTGATTACCTTCACGATCAACCATGACAAATTGATCATTTAAAGGTTCTTTTGTGTTGTTATTCCTAAAAGGTTCTATAAATTTAGAGAAGCCAGCTTCAAGTTCTCCAAATTTTGTATTTTCTATCATATAAGAAATTAAATTTTTTGGAAAAATATTTCTATTATTATTCATTTTATGGCTATTATTATTATAATTGTTATTATTATTGTTACTATTGCTTTTATTTGTTTCACTTTTTTATTGCTCTATATTATTATTTGTAGTTATATTTTTTTATTTATTATTGTTGTTGTTAATATTAATAATAATAAATATTTTTTATTTTTTATATAAAAAAAAAAAATTAAAAAAAAAATAAATAAAAAAAAATAAATAATGTTTGGTTGAAATATACATTTAATTGATGTGGGTCACATTGTTTTTTATATGATGTTCACACACATGTTATACCTCCTTATAAAAAAAAGTATGTTTAATTTTTTTTTTTTAATTATGATTTATATTTTATTATTAATTTTATTATAAATTTTATTATTAATTTATTTTTTCTATTTGCTTTTTTTTTTTTTTTTTTTTTTTTTTCTTGTATAGTTTTGTTTATTTAATTCCCCAATTTAAATTTATTTTGTAATAATTTTCTATTTATTTTTAAATTTAGTTGATTTCTTTTTATAAAATATACGAAAGACAATTTATATCAAATAAATAGATTGTTTTTAGGGTTATTTTATCTCTTTTTAATTTTTTAAGCCATACAAACATATGTAAATGCACTAAAAAGATATAATTTTACCATAATGAAAAAAGCTAAAATTAACCCATAATTAATTTTTATTATTTTTTGTTTTTTGAAAATTATTTGAAAAAAAAAAAATTATAAAAAATAAAAAAAAAAAATAAAAAAAAAAAAATGAAAAAAAAATAAAAAAAATAATTTTTAAAACACAAAAATCATCACACACATATATATTTATTAAATATTAATTATAACACATTATCTTAATTAACTTTTTAAATCTGTGTTTTTGTATTGTATTTTTTTTCAATTTTAAAAAAAAAAAACCACAAAAATTTTTTTAAAAAAAAAAAATTCAAAACATTATAATTTTTTATTTTTAAAGAATAAAGATAAAATCAAAACTATTTATTTATTTATTTATTTATTTAATAAACCTATAAATCACAAAACAAAACTTTAAGAATTCTCAATTTATCAAATTTGTTAATTAATTAAAGAAATAATAATATACATATACACACACAGAAATGGCAACATTAAAAGAAGTTACACCAAGCATTGTTAAATATGTTAATGATATGTGGGAAAAAAGTCTTACAACAGGACAAGGTGCAAATACAGCAACTCCAGAAAACCCAATTCATCCATTTGTTATTACAAGTGTTCAACAAGTTCAACCATCAAGACAACAAATGGAATTATTTGAAACTCGTAGAAATCAGTTAGATAAATTAATGCCAGCTGGTAAAAAATTAGAAACCTTTACCTGTTTTTATAATCCAACTTCTGAAGGTCAATTAAAGAAAATTATTCAAGTAAATATTATTAATTTGTTTTCCTCAAGAATAACACACAATATTATTGTTGTCGTTATATTAACATTTCTTTCTATTTTTATTTTAAATCTTTTAGAGCAGTTGGAAAGAAGTATTTGGTGGTAACCCAGATCAATTAACTTTTATTACAAATGCAAATGAAGCAGCAAACATTAATAGAGTACAATACTATAGAACTATTGTAGTTAGAGTTTGTTTAGGTAGAGAGGGCGTAGATTACTCCCAACCAAGTAAAGGTCATATTAAAATCAGAGATCTCGATGGTGTTTCAACTTCATTTGTCGTCACCTATAGAAATTCCAATGATCCAGCATCACATTTACAATCACCATTAAAAGATTCAACTTCATCATTATCATCTTCATCATCTTCAGTTGGATCAGCCCCATCATCAGCCAATTCAACCCCAACCAAAACCTCAGTAACCTCAGTTGCTTCACCAAACAAATCAACTACACCAGCAGGTGTCACACCAGGTGGTTTAATTGGAGATGGTATTAATTGTCCATCATGTAAGCGTTCAAATCCTGGAAATACACGTTATTGCTTGAGATGCGGTAGTAACTTATAAATCAAAATGAATTACCGTTTCAAGAAATATCGAAATCCAAAAAAATAAAATAAAATAAATAAAAAATCAAAAAAATACTTAAAAAGAAAATTTAGATCATAACTTCATTTATTATTAATTTTTTTATTTTGATCAATCAATCAATTAAATATTATTTGTGGGGTATCCAAAGATTCATAAGAAAAAAATTACTATAATCAAACATGTTGTAACCAAAATATTATTTTTGTGAATATGTTTTCCAAATATATTCATATTGAATAAAAATAGAAAAGAGAAAACCAAATCAAATAATGAGTTTTATTATTTATTTTTTTTTTTTTAATTTTTTTTTTTTTTTTGATTTTTTTAAAAAATAAAAAAAATAAAAATTTTTTAAAATCTTTTTTTTTTTTTTTTTTTTTTAAAATAAAATTTTTTTATTGTAATATAGTTTTCTTTTTTTTTATTTATATTTATTTAATAGATATTTTATCTATATTTTATATTAAAAACAATAGTATAAATATATATAGGTGTATTTTTATAAGATTAAATTAATAATAATAGTTTTGTGTGTTTTATTATTATTTATTTAAGAAAAAAAAACCATTTTTTTTTATAAAGAAATAAAGAGATGGAAATAGAAATTCATGATGATTTAAATAGCACAGATTCATTTAAGCAACATAATGCATTTGCAAAATTAAATCAATTTTGGATAAATCAAGGAAGAGATCCAACTATATTTTTTAATTCAATTATAAGAGTAAGTATTGTAATCTTTAAACTAAATATATTATTTATATTAATATTTTTATAATTATTTCTAAAAAAAGTTAATTCAAGAGTCCGATAATAAAACTACAAGAATTTTATGTTATAATGTTTTAAAAAGTTGTAAATGTACAGTTACAGAATGGAGTTTAGCAATCCCATTATTAGTTAAAGATTTACATTCAGATGATTCAGAAGTTGTAATCAATATATTAAAAGCGATCCCACACATTTCATCCATATTTACAGAGTTATTATTGACTGGTAATGCAGATTTCGGACCATTAGTTAGACATCAGAATCAATCAGTAAGAAGAACAGCATTAGATACATTAACAAGTTTATTATTTTATAGAAAAGCGATATTACAATCATATAAATCATTTGTATCAACTGGTTGGGAGTTAATTGTAGATAGGTTATTAGAAGAACCAATACCATCAGTTTATCAATCAAGTTTTAATGCTGTCAGCACATTGTTTTCGGAAATATCAAGATCAGTATCACATTCGGATGAATTGGACAACTCTACTCAAAAGCGTCAAGTACTTAGTTATTATGCCGATTGGATTTGCTCAAAATTAATTGACCACTTTGATTTACTCTTAAATCGTGCTCAACATGTTGATATAAATCAACGTCATGTTACCATCAACACTTTAACTTACTTGGTCGATACTATTTCAAGATTAGCTGGTGCCCCCCATTGGCCAAATTCCGATGCTCCAAAATTAGTTCAAAAAAATACTGGTAAACATCTATCATCACCACAAAATATCGTATCTATATTGGTAAATTATTACTTGACCCAGTTAGAATCCTCAAATGATTCTTTAGTTTTTGCTGCTGGTAAAGCTATATTGGATTTATTATTAACTCAACAAAATCAACACAACGAATCATGGATTAATCCTGTATTAACTGCATTCATTGGTTTACTTCGTCGTGAAGGTATCCATTTAAATCCTCTACCAATTTTATTAGCAATTATGGCAGTTCTTCCAATGTTGGGCGATGACTTATTGTTTTGCACATTAATCAAAATATTCCCATCTATCAAAACCATCAGTGACTCGAATCAACGTGTTAGCTATTTAATTCGTACTTTTGAATTAATAATTGATCGTCATGTAAGCTCTGGGGGTAAGAGTAGTTTATTTACACCATTAGTTACCCACGATTGCCTTTTAATGGCTTTCAATGATGACAGTAATAGTTTCCGTGAAGAGATTGTCGTATCAATGGTTGCTTCTCATCATAACATTTTAACAAAGTATATCGAAATCGAAGAAAAAGAAAGAGAAAAAGATAAAAGTGCATCAAATGGCAAAATCCAAAGTTCAAATATTTTATTTTCACTTCATCAAGCAGGTTTAAATATTTCAGAAGTTTGTTTGAAATGTGTATTATGGTCAGGTGAAAGAATATCAGCAATCGAATATTGTATTAGATTTGTAGATTGGCTTTGTCGTGTTACACTTCAAAATGACTCTCCACATTCTCCAAAATTAATATCATTACTTCGTAATGAGCTTTTAGATCAAATCACTAAAATCCCATCAGATTACATTTGCTTACAAGCAATCTTTTTAGTTTGTTCCCACCTATTAAGATCACCAACAAATAAAGTATACGAACAAAGTGACTCCACAATGTTAATAGGTGTACTAAGATGCCGTTTCCTCTTTTTAGATAATCAACCAAAATTCATTCAATTTAATGGCAGTGTTAGGGATATGGTAATGGGTGTATCACAATACGGCCGTGTTGCTCCAGTACAACTACCTTCTTTAAGTGGTTATTGGTTGGCTGCATTAGAATGTTTATTCTTACTTGGTTTACATATTTCATCCGTAGAGGCCACTGTTCAGCGTACACTTGAGGAGATTCTCTCAACCTATCCAAATAATAAATCAGTATACGCTAGAGCTCGTTTTATTCGTAGAATGCTTTTCTCTAGTACTAGCTCTGCTTTGGACGCTTCATCACTTGGAAAGTACAGTACCATTAGAAATTTAAATAGTTTTTCAAACAATACAATTGATTTTTCTTATTGCATTCCAATTGAAAATATTGAAATTACAAACTCACAACGTACAATTAACGACATCTTTTCATTTGAATGCAAAAAAGCAATTACAGGATTATTTGGTGCCCACTATGGTTCCTCTATCAGCGAAAAACCATCCAGCGAATCAACATTAATAAGTGGTGCATCTGACCCAGTTTGGATTGAAGTATCACATACAGTACATCCAACATTAAATACAATTACTTTACATGTCCAGGTCACCAATGTAATTCTTTTCAGCATCAAAAATGTAACAATAGTAATTGGTTTATCAGGTCACTTAGATTTCCCATATCCACAAACCAATTGTAAACATAATATTCCAAAATTATTACCAGATAAACCATACACCTTTGAAGTACCATTGACTGTTACAAGTTTAGATTATAATTTTATTTCATTTAAAATTTCATTCCATCAACCAAGTGGTGTTTGTGAAATTGATAATAATTTTAAACATTCAAATTATAATAATATTAATCAACAACAACTTCAACAGCAACAACAATTACAACAAACAAGCGATACATCACAACAACCATCACAACAATATACTAGTATATCTTCTGTAAATTCAAATTTATCATCAAATAGTTTAAATTCTCCATCAAATCAAAGTAGTTTAAATAATAGTACACATTCAATATCATCAGCTGCTGGTTCACCTGGTACTGCTAATTTTGTAACATCCCATTTAATACCATCAAATGCTCAATCTTCATCACCAACTACTTTTTCACCATTACAAAATGTACCTTCAACAAATTCTTTTTCAAATATTTCAAATGCTCCTTCAACCTTAACCCAAAATACTAATAGTGGTATAAATAACAATAATATAAATAACCAACAACAAAATAGTGCAAACAATCCTAATAGTGGCGCAAATAATCTTAATATTATAGTTGGAGCAGCAACAACAACCACCAACCAAACCAACATCACACAATCATTATCAATTGGTAATTCAAATCAAAGTGCAACCGTTATTCAATTTTCACCAATCGAAATTAGATGTTCAGACTATGTATTAGAATGGAACCAATTCCTCGTACCATTGAAATATAATAAACATCAATTTATCCAACAATGGCCACGTTTTGAAGCCTCATTATATATCGATGTAGTATTTGAAGGTTTTGTAACTGTTGAATCAATTTATGATTGTTTGACAACTCTTCCATTCCATAATGTTCAAGATTGTCAATTTAGTAATAGTAATTTCCAATTTGCTTTTTCCTCTTCATCATGGTTCAACGAACAATTTTGTTTCACTCTCTGTGGTATGGAAAAATCATTATCGTTCCCAGAAGATTACAGTGTATATTATACATCGCCAAATGGCACATCACCATCCAACTATAAAGTTATTCATGGTAGATTCGAATTTAGATCATCGAGTTCAAGTTTATTAGGTTCATTTGAAAGTGTATCTGAACAATGGATTCATAAATTACCAAGATCATCAGATAGCTTTATCATTAGAAAATTATCACCAGGCGAAGAATCAATATTTTCAATTACAAATATTTCAGAAACTTATGAAACACCAAAAAATTATCAATCTTCTGCCAACTCTCCAATTAATACAAGTGATAATGAATTAAATTTAATTAATCAATGGAAAGAAGAAAAGAAAAATTTTGAACAATCAAAAAAATTATTTTCACAATTAGCTTTGGATCAAGATTTTTATTAAAATAATAAAATTAATAATAACAAAGTAAAATAATTTAAATATATATAGATAAAATATATTGTTATATTATAAAATTAAAAATAAAAAAAAAAATAAAATAAAATAATAATAACTTTTTTTTTTTTTTTTTTCAAACTTTTGTGATAAATCTTATTTTTTATTTTATGTAAATTATCAATTTAACCAGATTTTCTTTGATTTTAAAAAAAAAAAATCTCAAAAACTAAAGGGTGTAAGATGCAAAATCTTAAAAAAAATAAATACAAATCTTTATAAATCACTTTTTTTGTATATTTTTTTGTAATTTTAGTGTAATGATAAATAAAGTATAAAAAAGGAAATTAATAAAGACATTTGATATTTGAAAAAAATTTTATTTTTTTTAATTTTCTTTTTTTTAATTTTTTTTTTTATTTTTTTATTTTTTTAATTTTTTATTATAATTAAAACATTCTTTTTCATATTTTCGTTGTATATCTTTTAAAATAAAACAGAAAGAATGGTTTCACAATTATTTGATGTTAGTAATAAAGTCATTTTAGTTACCGGTGGTGGTATGCATTGATTTTATTTAATTTTAAATTTTATTAATAAAATTTAAAAATTAATATTAATATTGTTTTAATAAAAGGTAGTGGAATAGGTTATGGAATCAGTTTAGGATATGTTAAAAATGGATGCAAAGTTTATATATGTTCACGTGACTTTGAGAAATGTAAAAAGACTGCTGAAGAATTAAGTAAAATCGGACCAGGTAAATGCATTGCAATTAAAGCAGATCTCTCAAAAAATGCAGAGATTAAAGTTTTATTTAAAGAGTTTTCTAAATACGAAGATCATTTAGATTGTTTAGTCAATAATAGTGGTTGCAATTGGGGTGAAGATTTAGAAAATTATCCAGAACATGCTTGGGATAAAGTTATGAATTTAAATGTTAAAGCTGTATTTTACACAAGTTTAGAGGCTCTTCCATTTTTAAAAAAGAATGCTTCACCAGATTCACCATCCAGAATTATCAATATAGGTTCAGTTGACGGTATCCGTGTACCAAATTTGGAAACTTATGCATATTCAACTTCAAAAGCTGCTTTACATCAACTCACTAAAGTTTTAGCAAACAAATTGGCTGGTGAAGACTATAATATATTGGTTAATGTAATTGCCTGTGGTCCATTCATGAGTAAAATGACCCAAAAAACTTTTACCGATTTCAAGGACATTATTATTGGAAGTATTGCAACAGGTAGATTTGGTAATAATGACGATCTTGAAGGTCTATGTGGTAGGTTTCTAATATATTTATTTATTTTCTTTATTTATTATTAATTTATTTCATTATCAATTTTTTTTTTTCGAAATGCAATAGTTTTCCTTACATCAAAAGCTTCAAATTATATAACTGGTTCTGTTATTCCATTAGAGGGTGGATTATTAATTAAACCAAATCTTTAATGATACTGAATAACTAAATACAGGTATATCAATTCAAATATGTAAATAATAAATAATAAAAAATTTCAAACTCTCTCACAAAAATTAATTTTCCATGGATCAAAATTTCACCCATTTTAAAAAAAAAAAATAATCAGAAAATTTTCAAATAAAAATAAATTAAAATAAAATAATAAAATAAACAATATGCTCACGCATGCACAGGTCTATAAATAATATATATCATAATAAATTATAATCAATGAATAACAAAAAAAAAAAAAGAAAAAAAAAAAACCTAAAAAAAAAAAAACCCCAAAAATAAAAAAAAAAACCTAAAAAAAAAAAAAAAAAATGTAGGGGCACAAAAAACAAAAAATACAAAAATTTGTGTAAAGTGATTGAACCTCGATTTAAAAAACACAATTAAATATTAAAATAATAAAAAAATAGAAAAAAAAGAAAAAAAGAAATTGTGAAAAAAAAAAAAAAATTAAATTTCATTTTTTTTATTACTTTTACACATACACATTATATACATATACATATACAAAACTCTTTCCCATGCCTAATAGTAACTATTACACACACACACACAAACACACACACCCACACAAACACACACCACATCAACTTTTTTTATTTTTTTTTTTTAAAATTTTTTTTCTTTATTTTTTTAATTTTAATTTTAATGTTTTATTTTTTATTTTTATAATTTTATTATTTTATTATTTTGTTTTGTTTTGTTTTGTTTCACTCACACAACCCACAAATAATAACCGTAATCAATTATCAATAATCAATAATCAATAATCAATAACAAAAAAAAATTTTCATTTTTATTATTGTTTTTTGCAAATTAAAAAAAAAACCATATATCTTGTTTTAGTTGTTTTGTTTATCATTTTTATTCAATTCTTTGTTTCTAATAAAATAATACAAATTCACCAATTTCAAACATCCAAACGCTCACTCACATATATTCTTTCATATCAACACAACAACAACAACAAAGCACAATAAATATAATTGTTACAATACATCAATAATAATTATAGTATATCTTAATTAATTTTACATATCAATAATTTATACATGTTCGAAAAAGATAAAAAATTTATTATTTTTTAATTTTTTTAAAATTTTTTTTTTAAAATATACACAATATTTATTTTATTTACTTCTCAAATCCAATAAATATACATAAATAATATTTATCAAAATCACCAATAAATAATAATTCTAAATAATAATAAAATACCACTTAAAAACAATCATAATAATAAACCACATACACACAAGCACCAATTCTCAAAACTGTGTAAATAACAATTTTAATAATAATAATAATAAAAAGTCTAATTAATTAAAATTAGTAAAGATAATATATAAAGTAGTAATAATCGAATTAATAATATAAATCTTCACTATTCAACAACAACACACAAAAATATTTAGGCAATAACTTTTCACTCTAACCCCCTCTGAAATAAAACAAAAAAAATAAACAAATACAAGTTACCTATAAAAATAAACTGTACTCTATTTTATAAATATAAAATTAAAATTTTTTTTAATGTATTATATTTATAAATAGTATAGTTTAAAAATAGTAATTTTTTTTTGTGACCAAATATCAAACCCCACAAACACACAATTTTACAGATACATATAAAAAATATATACAAGGACATAAGATATTAAATAAATTATATAACATTCACACAAAAAAATAAAATATACACCAATATCCCACGTTGTATGTTTTAATTTTAAAATTTTAAATTACAATTAGAGAAAAACAAATAAATTATTCAAATATATATCATAATCAAATTTTTTAAATAATAATAAAAATAATAATAAAACTATTTTTATTTAATATAATTATAATTAAAACAAACTATTAAATAATAATAATAATAATAATTATATTTAATCAACTCATAGTAATTAAAATATAAATTTATTCCAAATATTATTAAAAAATCATTTTATAATATACTTTTTTTTTTTTTTTAATTCCCCAATATTTAAATTATAATTAATAACATAATTTTTATTGATTTATGTGGTATTTCTACTTGTTATCTATTAATCAATCAATCATTAAAACAATAACAACATAAATAACTTAACAACAATAATATTAAGATATTTTATAAATATATTTACATATTAAACATACACTCTTATATTGTTGATTTTTATATAATAATAACAATAATAATAATAATAATAATCAACAATAAATTAAAAATCGTATACATAAAAAAATAATTAGATATATCATTTATTATTTATTATTTTCACATTAATGCAAAAAAAAAAAAAAAAAAAAAAAAAAAAGGAAAAAAAAATAATATTATATAAAATCTAAAGATCAATCCTAAAAGCATAATTCAAAAGAAATAATCATTTTAAAATAATTTAAATTATTTATATTAATTTTAATTTAATTTTTTATTTTTCTTTTTATTTTTTTATTTTTATTTTTTTGTATTATTAAATTTTTTCTTTTTTAAAATATTATAGTATTTTTAAAAAACCACACACACACGCACACAACACAAAAATACACTTATATTATTAAACTATTGTTATTGTTAAATATATAAAGTAACTTATATTTATTTATTTATTTATTTATTATTTATTATTTATTATTTATAAAATATATAATTTAAAATGGGTCATCCACTTGAATTGTCAATAATAGAAAATAGTAAGTAATATATTAAAGTAAATTATTATTAGTAGTAAAAAAAAAACTAATATTTTAATTTATTTGACTAAAGGTTTTATCGAAGAATGGATAAATCAATCATATGCTCAATTTTCAGAAACAATTGTATTTAAAGGGCATATAATGACAAATAAAAAACAGCATTTAGATCCCTCGAAAAAATGGACATCATCAATTTTAATAATAACGGTTTATCACTTAATTATATTTTCGGATGGAAAGGATCTAACAAAAAAACTACCAAAAGAATACCATATTTATGATTGTAAAAAACTATCAAATAAAGAAGACTATTGTGTATGTATATCAAACAAGAAATAAATATAAAAATAATGTACTAATATTTAATTTATTTAGTTATCATTAACTTTTCAAAGAGGTAAACAAAAATCAAAAGTAATTATGAAAACAGAGCAAATGAACTATATTGTATCATTAATAAGAAGATTAAGAGCTCAGTTAGATTCAGATCATTGTATATCAGAATTAAAACTAAATGTTAGAGATTAGTAAATATTTTTCTTTAAACTTTTTTTTTTTTCATTAATAGCAAAGCAATCAAATTATTAATATAGTTTTTATTTTCAATAATTTAGTTTAAAACAACCTCTAGAAAGAAAAGAATTTACAAATTTTGAAGGATTTTTAGATTTATACAGAGGATGGTGTAGTTATTTTTCGATAGAGCCAAGTCAATCAGTAATTGATTATACTCACAAGACAATAATAGATGGAAACAACGAAATAGATTTAAATGAGCTAGAAACATCAGAGCAATCAGAGTTATCATTTGATCAAATACCATTTTTATTTTCACTCAAACATAATAATTATTTTTCATCATTGATAATTAAAGATTTAAAAAAGGAAATGAGTGTTAAAGCGCTAGCAGAATTAATTCAACATAATTCTTTTATTAAAAAACTTATAGTTAAAAAAACCGGTTGCGAATCATTACAAACAATTTTATCCTCAATTTCTGGAAATAAAAAGAACTCCATACAGGTAATTTTTATTATTTTTAAAATTCTATATTGAGATATAAATTCTAATGTTTTATTATTTTTAGATTTTGGATATTTCAGAAAATAATTTTTCAAAACAATCAATAAGCTCATTGATATCTTGCATGACAAATTTCAATCATTCTTTAATTTATTTAAATATTTCAAATTGTTCAATACCTCCAAAAATGATGTCTGCATTTTTTGAATCTTTAGAGAAAAACTATGGAATGTCTTTAACTTTAGAATATTTGAATATTTCAAATAATAAACTTGACGATTCAGGTAACAGCGCTTTAACCAGTTGGATAATAAGATCAAGAGGAAATTTAAGTTTAAAGTAAATATAAATCAATTATTTATAAAAAGTAATCAAAGTTTATTAATCCTTTTTTTTCTATTAGAAATTTTATGTTAGCAGGTGTTGGTGTTTCAAGTCAAACAATAAATGCATTAAGAAACTTATCCAAACTAGTAAGTACCATCAAAATAGTTTAGTTAATTTGTTTTTAAAATATTAATAGTTTTTAATTATTTTTATTATAGGAATATATAGATTTATCTTTTAATAAAATAGAATCAAACGAATTAGAAAGATTATATCATATATTAACAATACCATCATTATATAGAGTAGATTTTAATTATTGTAATTTATCCAAAGAAATATCAAGCTTAATATTTTCTAAAATGTCAGAAAAGAAAATTAATGTTCATTTAGAATTAGCCGGATTAAATATATTCTCAAGTGATGAAACTAATTGGGACATGCTATTTACCAATATGCTATTGTTTAAAGAATCACAAATTAAAATTAAATGTTTAAATTTAAAACTTACAAGAGGTACAGAAAAAACATTAATTACACTTTTAAACACATTAGGCGAAATGAAGATAGATGATTTAATATTAGATGGTTTACAACTATATAACCCTCAAACCCAAAGTAATGGAAGTGATAAAAATGGAAATATTAATACAAACTCTGGAACTAATATCGGTGGTAGTAATGTGAATAGTCCATTGAACAGTCCATATAATAATTTTTCACCAATAGGAAGCAACCAAAATGATGACTTGGAAGATGAAATTTTAGTAACTCCATCATCATCGGCAAATTCAACTCCAATTATAGTGACAAATTCAAATATAGGTGTTGGATCCTCATCATTATCAGTTAGCTCCATTAACTCTGCCAATTCAACCAACTCCTCTTCTTCATCATTTATAAGTACAAATGGTAGTAGTATTAGCTTATTGTCAGCAAGTATGAGTAGTGCTTCACCTCTATTAACCACCCCCACAAGCAGTGTTAGTAGCTTTAATAGTGTTTCAAGTAGCAATAGTGCATTTTTAAATTCATCAGTAAATGGAATCGTTAGCGTTAGCGGTACCATTTCACCAGGACGAATGCAAATAAAAAACCTTTTAGGCAATGTTAACAATAATAATAATAGCAACAACAGTACTAATAGCAATAATACACCTAACTCAAATGACTTATTAGTAGCAAACAATAAACCATTCAAACAACTCTTTATCAAAGCATTAGTTAAAATCTACAATAATCCAGATATTAGATTTTTAGGTCTTTCAGAAATTGGTAAAATTATTACATCATTTATTCCAACACTTTCAAAAACTAGCTCTGTTATATCTTTAGATATAAGTGGAAATGGTGTTGGTGATATAGGGGCCAATCTTTTAAGTACTGCTTTAACTACCAATAGGTCATTAATTAACATTAATATAGATTGCAACTTAATAACCCATGTTGGATGGAGCTCCATCACAAGAGCAATTGCACCAATAGATACATGCTCATATGATATATTAGTTAACACTGCTAAAGACAATCAAACCCTTCCCTCAACAAACTTACCACCATGCCTTTGCTCAATGTCTTATCCAAAATATGATTTCGAAAGAGTTCTTACAAGTACTGAAGATATCCAACAACGTACTGTAATATACATGGCAATTTCTAATTTACAGCTAGCTCTTCATAAGAATGGTGAAACATTTTTAAAGAATGAAAAGGAATATATCTCAAAAAAATCAAGTTCTTGCGGTAGCATTTCATCTTTTTGTAATAGAACATTTGCAACAGTACCAGTCGGATATATTTTCAAAAGATTTATAGACCATGAGCAATTATCAATGCCTGTAACACCCACAATACTTTACCCAATGACACCAATTCCTACATCTATTGCCCAACAAATAAATGATAAAATCAGTCACTCTGATAGTTTACCAAATCCTTCTGCACTTTATAGTATCATTGCCACGCTTAGGGATCCATATTATAAAAACAATAATCAAAACCCTAATGTTTTCACAATTTATACAAATAATGTTCTACTTCCAACACGTAACTCCCCAATTCCTTTTGTATTGTCCTTCCCAGATGATAGCGATGAAGTAATACAACAAAAGAAACTATTACAACAACAAAAAGAACAACAACAACAGCAGCATTTTTCTACAATACAGTTTAGAAAATCAGGCCAAGCAATTCCATTCTATCAATCTACAAATGTATCTAATTCACCATCAAATAATATGATCAATACCTCATTAAGCTTTTTAAGTAGAAATAACAGCCCATCATTAATTAAAAAATTCACAACCTCAGATTATTATATCCAAGATGTTATTGGTAAACTAGATTCTGTAGTAACAGACTGTATAAACTCAAACAATCAAGATTCTGAATTATCACCTATAACCTCAAAAATCAAACACATTAAAAATTTAGATATTTTAGAAAAAGAAAAAGATAAATATAATTTTGTAAATACAACTATAAATAATAATTCTGTAATTCATCATCATCATCATTCAAAATCGACCGGTCAAATTGTAACATCTACCTCACTATCATCACTATCTATAACATCGCATAATAATACTGTGATTTCAACAGCAGTACCCAAACCAAAAGGAAGTAAATCGTTTATAGAAGAGGGTACCAATAAATCAATGATTAGAAAAAGTATAAATGGTTCTACCAATATAAAATCTGAATATACAAATAGAGCTAGAAGTTCGAGTGTTTTCAATCCAATTTCAATAATCCAAAATAGAATTCCAACAAGTAATGATTAAAATTTTAATTATTGTTTTTTTAACAATATAATTAAAAAAAATAAAAATTTAATTATAGACATAAATAAAATTTAATAAGAAAAAAAAAAATTAATTAGAAACTTTTATACATTTACTTTTTGTTTAAATATTATATAGAATTATTTTAAATAAATTTATCTTTATTAATTAAACCTTCCATTACTAATGGTTTCTTTTACACTTTATGAAACTTGTTGTGGTGTCATTTTATCACCGAGTTTTGTAAGCCATGATGGGGGTAATAATGATACTTCTCTGCCTTGGTTATCATGAATGACTGTGTTATCCAATTGGAAAATGTCAATATTTTCGACCTTGAGCATTGCTAAACCTAAACTACGTTTTCCAAATAAAAACTTATCTTGGGATCTGCTACCAGATTTAAGTGATTGTGGTTCACCACTCTTGACAGTATCAGATGTTTCGATTGGAGTACTTTTATGGGTTGGTGAAATATTTTTTACTGATAAAACTGAATTGGGCTCTGGGTGTGGGTGGTCATTTAAAGAGTTTAATATACGTTTTGGGAAAAGAAGTGATTCTTTTGGTGGTTTATTTGGATCGACGATGGCTTCATCCATTACAGATGGACTTTCAACATTATCTACTTTCATAACTACTGGGAATACTCTTTTTCTAATGAGACCAGTGAATTGAGTTCTACTTGTTAATTCTTGGCCTAAATAACAACCTTTATGGAAATCAACACCATTTAATAAGTCAAAATTATACTCTAGTGGAATGACACTACCCCATTGATACTCATTTCTACCTTCTGGAATGCCTTGGCTTAATCTAAATAAATGATAAATTTCTTCATCCATTGTTTCATATTTAGCCAAATGGTTTTCGATACCTAAAAAGAAAAAAAAATTAATATTTAAATTATATTTTTAAAAAAATAAAAATTTAATACTTACTTGATTTATTTGATGGAACTAACAATCTAACACCCATAATTTGATGTCTTGGATCACTCATAACTGAGCAACCCTCATCTTCTAAAATTGAAAGCAATTCATCATTTCTTACAGTCTTGTAGGTTTTATCAAGAATTGAATAAACTCTATATTGATCGGTGACATCAATGATATCTATTTTGTTTCTAAGTTTGTATTGTTTTAAATGAGCAACAGCATCATTTAAAACTGCATTGTCAATATCGATGATAAAAGAGTCTACAACACCATTTCCATTTCCATTACCATTACCATTACTAATAACAAATTCTGCTTTTTGTTTGATGGAGTGTTCTTTGTCTAATGAAATAATTGAATCGAATAACAATCTTCCGTTAGATTGTAAGAAACCATTGTAAATTGATGAATTGGATGATTGTGAATCTTTTAATCTATTTAAATTATTGGTTGTTAATCCTTGAAGATGTTTTAAAGCATCACTACCAACAACTTTAATTAAACTTCTGCTTTTTAATGGGACTACACATTTCTTTAATTTTTCCAATGATTTTAAATTTATCATTACTGCTGCTTTGTTATTTAAATATTTTAATTAATTATTTTTTATTTTTTTATTTTTTTATATTTTTTTAATAATTTTTTTTAAAATAATTTTTATTCCAAAAAAAAAAAAATGTAAATTAATATTTGTTTATATTATAAATTATTTGAAAGATATTGAATGAAACAAGAAAATATATATATACTTTTTTTTTTTTTTTTTTGTAAATTTATATTAAATTTTATTATAATAAAAAAAATTAAAAAAAAATAAAATAAAATAAAATTGAAAATAATTTTTTAAAAAATTAAATTAATAAAATTAAAAAAAAAAAATAAAAAAAAAATGGTAATTATGATGCAAAAGTGTTTATTTCAAAAAGAAAAACCATACAAAACTATTTTTACTATAATATTTGAATATTTACTCTTGATTCAGTTTATTTGGTGCTAGAATTATAATATTATGATTGTTTTAAGAAAAAAAAGAAAATTATACCAATATATAATTTATTTATTTTTATAAAAATAAAAAAATAAAAAAATAAAAAAAAAATATTAAAAAAAAATTAAAATTTTTGAAAATCATTTTTTTTTTTTTTTTTCTCTTCATCTATTTTATCCACAAATATATACACGTGTACATTTATATATATATTTTTTCCTTATTTTTTCATTTCCCTATGTGTATTATTAATATTTGTTGTTTTTATTAATAAAAAACCAAGAGATCTATCGTTAAAATTTTTTAATTTTTTCATTTCTCATTTTCCTGTCACAAAGGTATTTTATGAATAAATAATAGTATAGGGAAAAATAGTTTCAAAAAAGAAAAACACAATACAAACCACACCCATTATAAAAGAAAAAATCCATAACTAATTAGATTTTAAAAATTAAAATAAAACAAAAAAATAATAGTGTTTATTTATATCACAATTTATTACATAATATTTTCTACATATAATAAATAAAAAAACAAATAATTATAGTAATAAATGAAAAGATTATATTTAATATCGATAATTTTAGTTATATTATTGATATTTGATCATTCAAATTCATTTGACCTTGGTAAAGGTAAAGCAATTAAAAGGAAGAAATTAAAGCATAAACAAATTTCAGAACAATATGAAGAAAAATCAAATTTTCATCATACCGATCATATAGAAGATTATCAACATGAAGATCATGACAAAAATTTATTTAATGACAAGAGTAAGTAATAAAAATATTTAGATTGATAAAAAAATAAAAATAAAATATAATAGATATAATAGATATAATAGATAAATAGATATAAGTATAGTAGATAATAACAATTTAATTTTTAATTAAAATTAGATATAGATATAAATAATTTAAACTCAACATTAAAACTATGGTTAGAATCGAATAATATTGCAAAATTTATGGATTTCCATACAACTAAAAAATTACATTTAACTATACCAATTAATTTTATATTTATTGGATTTGCTGGCGAAGGAAATAGAGGCTTCGAAATATCAGATCCATTATTAGTCGAATGGTTTCAACATATTGAACATGCATTACATAACGTTATAACACCAATTGGCGAAGACTATTCAACTACAGATGAAATGGAAACACCTTCAACCCATATCGAATATAATTTTGAAATTCAAGTATCAAAAACCGATCCATTAGTAAATACTCTTGTAGAAGATGCAATATTTTGGCATTTAAGATCCGAAGCATCAAATTATTTTGAAAGAAATAATGAAGAAGCAATTAGTAAGCCTCAAGATGAAAAATATGAAAAGAGATTCTATGCAAACCCACATTTAGTATCCTCATTATTATCTTCATTATCTCAACATTTAGAAATCGATAAAGACTCCTATACCATTTTTATCATGAACCCAAACCATCCTTCAAATGATGGTATTGAAAATACCGATGCGGTTTATGGTTACAGAGTTGGTTTTTCTAATCAAGAACTCGAACAAATTTATAAGAATACCAAATTAAAAGTTCCAGAATCCTTAAATGTTCATACTGACTATGAATTTGCTCAAGCTATTCAATCAGAAAAGGTTGAAAAAAAGAAGGATCAAGGCGAAGCAATATTTATAAACAACAATTTAAAGTTTAGAGACTACACCAAACAATCAAAAGAATGGGCAGATAAAATGATTGTCGAATTTGATACCTATAAGAAGAACACCCTTCAAAGCTCACCAAACTGTATGTTTGGTTCACCAGATACCAAGGAGGATAGATGGATATGCACCACCTTGGAATTACTTTATCACGAAAACTCACCCATTTTAGAAAGAGCTCAAGAAATTTTCACAAGAGGCACCAAATTCGAACAACTTTATGTTTATACTGCCTATGAAAACAAAATCTTTGAAAACCCAATGGTTGATACCTGGATCTCCCACAAACGTTTTGCATTTATCGATCTAACTGCTGGTCCATTTAGCTGGGGTCCATCTGTTGGCGGTAATGGTTTAAAAACTTTTAGTACATTACCAATACCACCATTCATTAGCGAAGATGAAGAAAGAGCAATTGATGACGAAGAAATCATTCATCTTTCACCAGACAAACATATTAAAAAGAAACAAATTGAAGAAGAAATCTTATTAACCGAAACAATTTATGGCAATAACTGTGGTGAACAATCATTAACCGATGAACAAAAGGAATTATGTGAAAATTTACAAACATCAATAAGTGAATTAAAATTACAATTAGAAAAAATCAGCATGGCTTCAACTGCCAAGAGTGATCAATCTACAGCAGAAAACAATAACGATGATATGGATTTCGACTTTTTAACTGGAAACTTTAAAGAGGTTTTCGGTAATAAACAACAAGATAAATTTGTTTCAAAACTTGGTTCAGTTTTATCATCAAGTTTAAAGCATTTGGTCACCCAACCATTACCATTATTCAAAATTCAATATGCCAGCAGGGTCAATTTCAACGTATTCATAATCAGCGATCATAATGATTTCAATCCAAGAGATTACTTTAACTTTAACTACGAATTATTTAAATATGAAATTGAAAAGCTCAGACTACCAGGCCAAGAATTTTCATTCAACATTAAAACCATTTCAATGTCAGATGATAGACAATTAGCCTTAGCATACTACACAAGCTTAAAATCAATTTTAAATCCAACCATCAACGATGACCATCAATTCCAAACTCAACTCAACTACTATTTAGACTCAAAAGAGATTAGAAGTAATTTATTAAAATTGTTTGGTAAAGATTTTGACACTGACAAAGACGAAGATGTTGCTGCTACTATCAAATACATTCCAATTTTCTTATTTTCTGTATCAAATAAAATACCAATTTTAATCGATAAAACTCATCAAGCTAAATCACTCTCAAATATGGTTATAGGTATTCAAACATCACTCTTTTCGACCAATAGCTCATTCACAGTTAATGATAATCAAATCAAATACTACCCAATTAACCCATTATCAAGTATTCTATCAGCAACAGCATTAAATTTAGGTGGTTTGGTTGGAAATCATGTAGCATATAGTGAAGCTCATAAATCAGCAACATCAAATTGGCATTGGTCTGTTGGTGACTCCCCAACCTCAAAAACTTTTAATTTCCCATTCACTCATTTCAATGAATTTCAAAGAGATACTATATTTAGAAACTATGTAGCAGCATCCTTAGAAAGATCAATTCAGTACATGAATAAAGCAGTCTCCATCTTATCAGATTGCAAAACCTCTATTAAGAATTTCGAAAATGCCCTCTCTGTATTCCCATTGGATGAAACTGTAATCAATTTCCAATCCATTCGTTCAAAATGGAATCAAATAGCTTTGAATATCAGAGATTTAGATTATAGAAATGCAATCAAAACCGCCATAGAGGCTGAAACCCTTTCAAAATCATTTTATAAAGATTCAAAATCAATTCAAATTTTCTTTATGGAATCTGAATGTCAATCCGATTTACAAGAAAAAGTACCAAAAAGAACTTGGGCTATTGTTACAATATGCTTATTTATTAATATTTTAATAATTTTATTCTTTAAAACCTTATATAAATCAAAGAGTAAAATTAAAATTAATTAATTTTATAATTTAACAATAAAAATATAACGATTTTTTTTTTTTTATTTATATTTTATTTCTCAATTTTATTTCTTTTAATTATTTTTTTATTTATTTTATTTCTTTTTTTTTCTTTTTTTTTTCTATTTTTAAATTAAATTTTTTACAAAAAAAAAAAAATAAAAAAAAGATTTTTAAACCAAATTTTTTTTTTATTTTTATTTTATTTATATTTTAATATGCATATTACCAATAATTTAAAAAGAATGAATGAAGGTGAAATAGTAGAAAGTAGGAATGTCAAAAAAGTCAAAACCCAACAACCACAAGATTTATTTTTAAAGGTGTGGAGAAACAAGTTCCTCAATTCTAAAATAATTCAATTCTTGAGATTATTAAAAGATTTTTCAGGTTTTAATTTTCTATTAAACAAAATAGGTGACCACCCTTATAAAGAATATATTACGAAAATATACTACGACATAGATGAACCATTATTACATCAGATTCCTTCAAGTTGCACATCGTTAAGACTCGGTTTTAATTTTAATCAAGATATCAGCTGTTTAAAGTCATTATCTTTTTTAAGATATCTATCAATTGAAAATTCAAAATACGATAAACCAATTGCGCAAGGAGCCTTACCAGAATCAATTACTGATTTAGAAATTCATGGTTCTAAAACTGCGTTATCTGACATATATATACCAAAATCAGTTACAAAACTATCACTAGAATTCTATGATAAACCACTCAATGAAGGTGATATACCAGACCATATACAAATATTATTTCTCAGAAAGTTTAATCAACCCTTAACTGAAAAATCACTTCCATCATCATTAAAATCAATCGATTTTGGCTTTTGCTTCGACCAACCACTATCAACACCATTACCAAATGGTCTTTTATATCTTACATTAAGTTCAAGTTTTAACCAACTTATCTCAAAAGGTATTTTGCCATCGACATTAACACATCTTAATATTGGTGAAATGTTTAACCAATATTTATTGCCAGGTGTAATTCCCTCGAGTGTTACCTATTTACGTTTTAAAATGGGTCATTTTAATAAACCTTTTTCCGTTGGTTCAATTCCAAACTCTGTTAAATTTCTTGATCTAGGTTATAGCTACAACCATCCTTTAACTAAAAATATAATCCCAGACTCAGTGGAAACGTTACTATTAAGCAATAAATTTAACTGTTCTCTATCCAAAAACTCCATTCCCCCAAGTTGCACAGAATTAATATTCTCAAACGACTTTAACAATCCCATTGGTGTTGGTGTTCTACCAGATAGCATAAAACACTTAGAGTTTAAGGGAGATTTTAACCAAAATGTCCCACCAGGATCAATCCCAGACTCAGTTACTACTTTAATATTTGGTTTTGGATTTAACCAACCTCTTAAAAAAAACTCCATACCAAACTCTGTAAAAGAACTATCACTTGCAACCAATTATAAACAGTCTTTAGCTCCAGGCTTAATACCAGATTCAGTCACAGACTTAACCCTATCTTATTGGTCAAGAAAACCACTAAAGCCATTGGATATTCCATCTTCTGTCACAACCCTAAAGCTTGGCAATGGATTTCATAACAATTATTTAGAATCAAACCAAATACCAATGTCTGTAACCAATTTAGATTTAGGTAGTTACTGCTTACCATTCGTACCCAATTCAGTACCACCATCCATTAAAACCCTAACCTTCTCACATAATTTCCACAATCAAATTAAACCTCTTTCAATTCCGGAATCAGTCAAAGTATTAAATGTAGGTGGATTTAATGGCCCATTAGTAGAAGATATTTTCCCATCATCAATTGAACATTTGTCATTTGGTAGCTATTTTAACAATTCACTAACACCTGGAGTTATTAAAAGTGCTACATATTTATCATTTGGTATGTCATTCAACCAACCTCTACTTAAAGGTTCTATTCCAGATACATGCAAAGTTTTAGACCTATCCAAATCGAAATTTAATCATCCAATAGAAAACGATATATTACCCAATTCTCTTACATCATTATCATTTGGTAGAAATTTCTACCAAACAACTTTGACAAAATCCTCAATTCCATCCTCTGTTACTCATTTAACATTTGAAAATGAAAAAATGAGGAAATTTTACGAATCATTAGATTAAATTATAAAATAAAATAATCACGAATCCAAATACTAAATTTAGTAATATCTTTTTTTATATTTTTATTTTTTTTTTTATATATTTAAATCATAGGTAAAATATTATTAGTTTAAGTGTATATTTCACCACAGGATTTATTAGCGCCTTTTTTAATTTTATTTTTTTTTTTTATAAAAAATAAATTAATTTTTTTTTTGATTTTTTTTTTTTAATTAATTCCTTTCATTTATTTTTTTTCTTATTATATATTTATACTTTGGGTTAATTATTTGTAAAAAATGTCAGATCCAGCCCAAGTCCCAAAGAAAAGAATTGTTCCAAATCATATTGGTCCATTACCATCCACAATAACCCATCCACAACAACCACAAACACAACAACCACCACCACCACAACAACAACAACAACAACAACAACAACAACAACAACAACAACAACAACAACAACAACAACAACAACAACAACAACAACAACAACAACAACACTTGCAACCACAATACCAATCACAACAACCTATAAAATACCCAATTCATCAAGAATACCAACCATCATATTTAGATTTAGAAGCAGTTGGATTATCAAATATTACACCAATTATAGATCGTGTGGCATTTATTCCAACATCACCATATAATAGTGAAATATTTGACAAAGATACCAAAAGGTCATTAACCGATGATTTTGTTAAACTTATGACAAAATTAGATGTTAGTACAGATGTTGGTGAAGAAACCAATACTATTGGAGACAGTAATAATATAAGTGGTAATGGCGCTGAAATTAATGTTGAAAGCTCCGATAGCGAGGATGATGAAGATGATGAAGACGAAGAAGATGATGAACTTACAACAATCAAAGAAGGAGATGAAGAAATTGTGGTCGCAGTTAATAAAGAATATGAAAAGAACGAAGAGGAAGAAGATCCAGAGCCAATTACTTTTGATCAAGATGATTTAACAACAAATGAAAAAATGGTAGAAATTCATAAAAAAGTTAAAGAAAGAAACAATCGTCAAAGAACCCTAAGAGAGTTAAAACTAAATCAAATGTTTGATTCAATTACATTAGGTGCTCCAGCTCCTTACATCACCCCAACTAAATTTACAAAAAGAAGAAAGAAGGAAGGTGAAGAGGAAGAAGAAGAACAATTACTTTCTTCAAAAGAAGTTTTTACATCATTTCCAACTATCGATACAATTAAAAATTTAATTAATAATAATAATAATAATAATAATAATAATAACAATAATAATAATAATAATCCCAATACTATACATCG